ACTAAAAAAAGAAATCACAATGTAATGTAGTATAACGTAAGCATAAAAAAAACGTATTATTTAAACTAAATATAAAAATTGACAAACCGGTATATGTACATCTTAAGATTTAAAATCATCTATTTATACTTTTAATACAAAATTAAAACAGATAAAAAAAACAACAAGAAAGAAATAAAATAAAACTTTTTTTTTTTTTTAAATGAAAGAGTGCTTTTTTTTAATTTTGTTATTTAGGTGCCCAAAAAAAGCAAGTGCATTTAACCAGGAAGTTCTCGCCTCCTTCCTTACCGTGACGCGAAAATATGTCCAGAGCTCGTTTCGAACCTCTGCTTAGAAAAGCAAGCCCTCTAACTACTGCGCCACGGCCATATAAAGTGTATGTCTTGTTTAAATTTACCAATTGTTTTTTTATAGTACTTTTAAATATATCAATAGATTTTATTTTTTCATTTTTTCGTCAAGACCAAGTTCCAAGCGTGGTCCCCGATATATAATTGAGAAGTCAGATTCTTTTAGTAATGTTAGCGGAATGTAGTAAATACTTATTGAGTGTTTTGTTTCATATTTTTATATTTATGATTAATTTGAGAGAAATTTTGTAAAAATATTTTAGAAGTATTTCATTTTAAAGTTTAAATATAAATAAAAGGTTATGGTAGATATTTAGTTCGTCTTATCTCTTTGCAAACTTATTGGCAAATTATTAATTTTCACATTTTCCACACCTGTTGTTCCTTTGATTCCATTCCATGTTTTCTTTGGATTTCCAAATGTTTTATTAAGCAATGAAGAGTAGTAATTATTTTTCGATTGCTTTTTTAATCATTCAAAAGAATTTTTATATTTAAATCAAATTTGAGTATATTATACAAAAGATGAGCTATTATTACCTCATTTGAATGTTTTCTTTTTGTTTACTAATTATCTCGGGTAGTGTAGAAAGATCATTTGTTATATTGAGTTCATAATTTTTTATATCGAGTTCATAAAATGTTTTCATTTACTCTAACTTGTATAGGGTTGAATTGATTCCACAGGAATATTTACTTCAAGACTTTTTTCATCTATGTTATTAATTTCTTTATCATTTTTGTTATTATTATTATTTTTTTCATTATTGCCATTATTTTATTTTTATCATTTTCGCCATTATTTTTTATCATTATCATTTTCGCCATTATTTTTTATCATTATCATTTTTGCCATTATTTTTTTCCGGATCATTTTTTTATCTAATTTATCTAGCACTGTCTATTTTTATGTATTGTAAGCTTTAAGTTTTTAAGCTTTTCTTTTTGTACTGCCACTTTCATATTTTCTTTTAAACCTTTATCTCGTTTCATTCTTATTTTTCTTCTAGACTTCTAGACTTCTATTTATATTTCTTCTAGACCTTTATTTCGTTTTATTGGTTTCCACATTTAATAAAATATAAAATATATTTTCAGTTATTATTTATACTTTTAAAAAATGTAATTTTTATTTTAATTTCTAACATTTTCAGTAAATACGAAACAATGTTTTTAAGCTAAAAATATAAATATATGCTGTATTGATTGACTAGCTAGATTTACTCAAATTTAGCGAAAAAATTTTTTGTTAACTAAATCTCTGAACATTAAGTTTGTAAAGTCAATAAAACTTTGATATTTTGATTCGTTTTATTCGGTTTTCGGAACGAAAAGATTAGTAATACTTTTATTAACATGATGCTGTTGTATGGATTAATTAAATTCAACATATTTCATATATAATTGAAATAAAAACTTGAAAAGTAAAAAGGTTTTTAAAAGATCAATATTTATTGAGAAAAAATATTATTCATCGTAGGATGTTTGAAGAATTTGGTTTGAAAATACAGCAATCATACATATAAGAAAATGTTAGAGACATATGATTGGTTCAAGGTCCTAGCTTCCATTCATAAAGCATTAGCAAATGCTGGGGAAACTATCATTAATTCACCAGTTTCAATTGGTTTAAAAAAGCTAATGATACCGGAAATTTATGTCAACTAGTTTTTTCTGATCTTCTATTTCTGATCTCCTAGTTAAATATTGACAACGTTGACGAAAACCTAGAACTAGATATAAATGCAGAAGAATAAAATTCTAAACTATATAATCTGTAAAATGTTTAACTTTATTCTCGTTTGTCTACTAATTTATTAAATGAAAAAATTAAATAAAACATTTTAAAATATGCAGTGGTTCGGCTCAATAGAGTTAAAAAAATACCCCAATTCTTTATTATTTTGTTGTTTTTTCTTTTTATTATTAGTTTTTTTATTATTTATTATTAGTTGAGAATTAGAAGAACAGATTTTAATTCTTAACTTTTAACCTATTTCTATTTTTAGTTCTTAACTAATAACCTGTTCTAACTAATTTAGCAGTAATGTTCGAAAGATATAACTGTATAAAGTTTTCACCCTCCCTAAAATGAGAGGATTGTAAACTTTACATGATCATAACTTTCAAAAAATGATTTTTTTAAGCGGGGGGGGGAGGGCTAATTTTTTGGTATATTTTTGATCCCGGGCTTCAATTACCGCAATTTTTTTGAAAAACATATTTTGACTTTTTATATTAAGACTTTATATTAAGACAAGTTTGACTTTATATTAAGGCATATTGAAAATAGTCCATTGTTTAGACAATGTCAAAAAGTATCATATATAAAAAATCCAACTGGTGTTCCCAGCACTCATATGCACCCCGCTCCTCACTATGCAGCAGCAAGGAAAGGGGGAGGGTGGAATGCAGATCAGAACACAAAAACAAAAAAATACTTAAGTCTATAATTTACACAATTCAGGCCTAATATCCACATAAATACAACGATTATATTTTATATATATATATATATATATATATATATATATATATATATATATATATATATATATATATATATATATATATATATATATATATACATATATATATATATATATATATATATATATATATATATATATATATATATATATATATATATATATATATATATATATATATATATATATACTGAATATATATATATATATTCAGTATATATATATATATTCAGTATATATATATATATTCAGTATATATATATATATATATATATATATATATATATATATATATATATATATATATATATATATACACATTATACATATATACATATATACATATATATATATATATATATATATATATATATATATATATATATATATATATATATATATATATATATATATATATATATATACACATTATACATATATACATATATACATATATATATATATATATATATATATATATATATATATATATATATATATATATATATATATATATATATATATATATATATATATATATATATATATATATATATATATAATCTTTTAATACTATTAACTTAGACTTAATGGTCTCATATTAAACTAGTAGACTTTTTAGAAACAGTGTTATTCTTCTACATGTTTTGTTTATTTTTCTTACGCTTTTAACCAGAAAATAATAAAAAAGAGCGGAATCTGATTAAGCGTCAACTTGTATAAGTAAGAATTTTTTTTTTAATTTTATTTCGGTGCCCCAGAAAGTCCTCACGGACTTATCACAGAGCACCGCGGATTAGTATTTAATTGGAAGTTCACGTCTCCTTCCTAATCGATGTCGCAAAACTTGCCCAAAGGTGGGTTTTGAACCAAGGACTTTGGTTGGGTTTTGAACCAAAACTTGCCCTAAGGTGGGTTTTGAACCAAAATCCTTTGTTTCTGAGACAAGTGCGCTACCACTACGCCACGGGTGCTCGATATAACTTGAATGACTGGAAACTAATAACCAGCTTATAAAAGAGATTCGCGACAGCGTAAATAAATAAAAATTTTGATTTTAAATCTGTATATACATACATTTATATTCTATATGTATTATTGATAGATATAAGCGTAATGAATAATATTAATAATTATAATTTTGTATATAGGGATTGCGGCTGATTGACTTTTAGCAATCACCTTCAAATGATACGATGTTGTTACGCTGAAACACAAAAAATATTAGCGATCGAGTAACTATTTAAAACCATTTTGCTATATTACTATTACCTTCAAGGAATAATAAACTATACGATTTAAAACGTAACTTTTAAACTATGTAGTATTTATATTGGATAATCAATGTATGAGTACTTTTAAAAGCGTAAAGATAAGGTTTAAATAATTTTAATAGTTTATTCATAGGCGACTATCAACAGATGGGGTTCTAATTAAGATCTCTTATAAGGTCTCTCTCAAATCTATTTTGTATGAACGCGAAGCAAATATATTTGGTCAACTGATTACGATAATACAATATTCTGCGGAGTTCCATAACTAAAGAACCAAAACAAAATCTTTTTTTTTTTTTCAAAACTCTTTAAATCATACATCACAAACTTTTTTAAATAATTATTTTCGAATAAATCATTGATCATAAAATATACCAAAATTTTATTTTATTTTTTTAATTTCTTACGACTATATAGTGTCTGAAAACGTGTTAAAACTATCAAAATATGGCAGTTTTAAAACAAGTCTTACGTCGTTATGAGTAACAAAAGCAAAGCAAGCAAATGTATTATAATATTGTTTAGCTTACATAGCTTATATAGTATTTATTAGCATTAGCAAAAAAGCATCAGAAAACAAAGGTTTTTTCTTAATGAAAAATTAAACTAAAAATATCCTTACTCTTTTTATAAGATTGAAAAAAATACCCCTGGATTAACAGTTTGCACTAGTAAAGTTTTGATCGTTGTTAATTTAAACCTTTTTTCACTTCTTCACTAAAACTATGCAAAAATAAAGACAAAAATTTTATATATCAAATTCTGAAAACTATTAGTGCCACTCTTTAAGTAATTATATTACATATTTATTTATATTTATTCAAGTGTTAGTAAGGGCGTTGCTGGTGTAGTATTAAATATATAATAATAGAAAAAATTAGATTATAGAAAAAATTAGGCGACATATTTTTCATAAAAGACAAGAATTACAACTAAAATATAACAAAAAAGAATACTTCTAGTAAGGTTCTTGTTTAAATACACACACACACACACACGAACAAAATTAAATATTGATAAACATGTGTATCATTTGTATATATAGTATATGTGCGTGCGTGTTTATTGGGTACTATTCACGCTATTGATTTATTTGATATATTTATACAAGTCAGCAATTTAATCCTCACCACGATAGAGAGAAATTTATCAACGTTTATTGATACCTATCAATCTTTACACAGCGTATCATCATTTTTACATTACGTTTTGTCGTTTTTGCATCCTTCTCTGACTAATATCTAAAGAATAAAGAAAGAAAAAATCAAAAGAAAAATGAACTCATATAACTATATAATTGTTAAAGTATATAAAACTTAAAGGAAAAATGAAAAATAAAATGGAAAACCTGATCAAGTAGATTTTTCGCAATTTGTTTCATTTGCTCATTCAGCCCTTTTGATGACTTTAAATTCTAAAAAAAAACCACAACCGTAAAACGATAACTAGTAAAAACTTTGTAAAAAAGTAAGAAGAGAAAAACTAAAAAAATAGAAATAATTTACCTTTACTTCGTTAAGCGTCTCCTGAAACAAAGTTTTACAACACAAGGTGTACTTTTTGTGATCTTTAGACATATGACCGTACTTTTGAACAACACCTTCCACAAGAATTTTCAAACGCTTCAGTAAAAATAAATCATTAATAACTTTTTAGTCAACCCTTAAGTAACAAGTTTTTAAGTGTTTAGGCATTCTGAGAAATTGTTTGGAATTCACCTTAGATATACTGGAAGGGAATAAATATTCATAAAACCTAACCAAAAAAACTTTCTATTTGATAAGACAGATTGATATGAATGTAACAAAAGAAAGATATGTACAACATAATATTAAAGAAAATAAGAAAAACAAAATAAAACATACTATATACTGCAAACATATACTATATACAAACTATATACAAACAAACATATACTGCAGTTAAGATGTTATAAATGGAAATCAAAAATTGGACTTTTTAGAAGTCATTTTATAATTTCTCTTCAGTCGCCAAATCAAATCATTTTTAAATGGGACGACCTACTGATATTTATCCCTACCTCACAGAGCATTTAAATGGTTATGATAATAACTTATAAAACCGAAAATATTCATTAAAAAGAAACTCGCAGCTCAAGAAGAAAAGGTCAGTTGCCTAGCAATAACCATTATCAAAATAAATATAATCACGATCAAAATGAAACTAATATATATATATATATATATATATATATATATATATATATATATATATATATATATATATATATATATATATATATATATATATATATATATATATATATATATATATATAAAGATAAAAATAAAGATTATCATTATCAAAATGAAAAAGCCTATGGATATTCACTATGATTACGACTATGGATTACCTGTTGTTCCTATTTTTGTTTTGTTAGACTTGAAAATACTTCAAAACACTCCCAAAAAAATACACAAAAAACATTTGTTATTAAATATTGTAAACGATTGCTGAGTAGGCTTTCTTTGATATCACAAGTAGGAAGTGGCAGGGGCCCCAGCTAAAAATGAGACTTTCTTCAAACATGGCTCTGGCCCCGGCCCCAACAAAATTAAATGATTTAGCAAGGGTTAATAGCCGGGGATAAAAAATAATTTACAATACTTTATATACTATAATTTTATACTTAAATTTAATATTTAATAAATACGTATTTTAAAAAGCAATTTACTTCCAATAAGGTTGTAAGCAACCACTATTAAGTTATAAGGTACTTTAAAATAGAGGATAGGGTCAAAAAGCATATATAAGGAAACTATGAAGATGGGTAAGAGTTATAAGAACAAATTAGAAAAAAAAGTTGTATCAAACAAAGTTTGTTAGAGAAGATTAAAGTGATTATCAGCATGTAGAGAGGTAGCAGCTACAGGAATAAATGGTAAAGGTAGAAGTAAGAAAAAAAGAGAGTGCCTTACATATTGTATGAATGAGCTTTAGTTAAGGAAAGATAATGCTCTAGATTGTTTATATTAGAGAAATAGCATAAATAAGAAAGGCTAAAACCTGATAATGATGATGATGATGATAATGATGATGATAATAATGATGATGATAATGATGATAATGATGACCATGATAATGATGATCATGTTAATGATGATCATGATGACGATGATCATGATGATCATGATCATGATCATGTTTATATATGCATTTATAGACAAAATATAACATAAATTTTGAATAATAAAAAAAAGCTTTAGGATTTAAATGTTTATGCAGTCAATATAACAAACCCGGCCCAAGCTATATTTTATCAAAACCAGCTCAGCCATAATCAAATTTCAACCCCTTCACTCTCTAATCACAAGCAAAGTTTTCTTGGAATAGGTTTGCCATTTTAATAGATTGATATAGTTCTATATTGAGTGCACAAAAAAAGCATTTATATTTTAAGTTAGTAAAGGCAAGAAAAAAAATGAAAACATGTTATTACAAGGGAAAACTTTCAAAATCTTTTAAATTTAGAAGCGAAAATAAAAAAAAGCTAATGTGAATAAAGCTGCGACTAGACTTGGTTCTTTCAGTTTTATCACCAAAGCTAATGGTGGCCAAGTTTCAGATATACCAATACAGAGGACTGCAATATTATAAGTATGTTTTCTAAAAGATTTATTAGCTTGGCAGATTAAGGTTTCAATATCCAAGATTTGCTTTTGAAAAAAAAAGTGGTATTGGTTTGTTTATCTTTTTAAAAAAAAGGACAACATTTTACACGAGCTAAAGCCTTCTCAACCAAAGAAATTGCTAGATCATGGGTCCATGTGGAGCAATCAATTTTATTACTTTAAGAAATTTTAATGATATTTAAGAATTTAGGAAATGTAAAAATGAGTTATCAACTAGATCTGATTGTATTTGTGGAACTTTAAAGAAACCCTCGATTGTAAAGGAATCCATCTGATTGTAAAGGTATCCATCTGATTGTAAAGGAATCCATCTGATTGTAAAGGAATCCATCTGATTGTAAAGGAAACCATCTGATTGTAAAGGAATCCATCTGATTGTAAAGGAATCCATCTGATTGTAAAGGAATCCATCTGATTGTAAAGGAATCCATCTGATGTAAATTAAATATGCTAATACTAATAAAAAGGTATCTCTTTTTTTTTTTTTTTTTTTCTTTGAATAAAAAAAAACAAAACATCACAAAATACTTATAATAAAAATGTTTTCAATAAGTTTTCAGCACATTGTCATATTTTTTGTTGCTCAAGATTCATATTGTTTGTTAATTTTTCATTAACTTGTTTACTGTCTGAATCATTAATGCATTTCTTTATGAGATCATCTTAAATGTAGTAAATATTTTTTTTTCTCACGTTTCTCAGTGAATTAAGAAAAAACATACTCTGTCAAAAATTTCTGAAATTTTTGTAAATAATATTTATTATAGTTAGGATCAGAATAAATTAGTTCGCAGTTTTTCAAACAAAGTTCAGCATGAGGATAGCCACTTACAAACATACATAGAGTTCAGCATGAGGATAGCCACTTATAAACATACATAGAGTTCAGCATGAGGATAGCCACTTACAAACATACATAGAGTTCAGCATGAGGATAGCCACTTATAAACATACATAGAGTTCAGCATGAGGATAGCCACTTATAAACATACATAGAGTTCAGCATGAGGATAGCCACTTATAAACATACATAGAGTTCAGCATGAGGATAGCCACTTATAAACATACATAGAGTTCAGCATGAGGATAGCCACTTATAAACATACATAGAGTTCAGCATGAGGATAGCCACTTATAAACATACATAGAGTTCAGCATGAGGATAGCCACTTATAAATAACTAATGATGTATTTGTGTGCGATATTGATGACTACTTTTCTGTGTGTATGTGTTAGCAAAAGATTTTTTTTCTAAAAAACTTTGAGCACTTTGAGCATATTCACATATTTTTTTGCCTGAATGATCATGAACATTTAATTTCAAGCAAACCAAACCCACAACATGTACAACTTGTTATCTAGGCTTGCTCCAAGATGTTTGGTGTTTTATGTGCAAGGTGTTTTGATTGATACTATTAGCCTGGTTCGGTAACATGTAAAGTTTTTATCATTTTCCTGATATATCTTTTTTTGAGCTAGGACTCAAACATGTTACCCCATTGAATTGATTTACTTTTAGCATTATTTTTGTAACCTAAAATTTGAGCACATAAATTAAATGCTGCCTGTTTTTTTTTTACTTTTAAATGTCCTACTTTCAAGGCTTTAGAGCTGTGAGTAAGAAAAGCATAAGTTTCAATGCCATAAACGTTTTTAACTTTTTTTTTTAACTCGCTTGCAGGAATTCTTTCAGTTTAACAACATTACAACTTTTAATTTCATTTATAAAAGGCTTTTTTTTTTAGTTATCAGTATTGATAAAAAAAACTGTTTTGATAATGTATGTTGTCTATTTTATTGTTTGCACCTCAGCTATCCCAAAATGCTTTACAAGTGAAATTAAAAAATTAATAGAAAAAAGGTGAATTCAAAGCTATCAAAAAATAAAAACAGAAAACACAAACTTCACATGTGTTGTGATGTTTGTCTTTAAACATTTCAATAAACTCGGTGTGTCATTAATATAATACATAATATAATTATTAAAAAAAATATTATGTAGGCTAAACAACAACACCAATATAAAATTAAGTTTCTAATCTCTATTTAATTATTAAATAATGTTATATATATAAAATTTTAGACCTAACATAAATTTGCGCCATACTGAACAGGCTTTCTTTGTTTTTAAACGTTATTCTTAAGCATTCTGACACTATAACTCAGCAAAAATTGTGTTAAACAATAAGAAAATGAGAGACACAACTATACACCAAGAAACTATATTTTCAGCACCTTTATTAAAGATTGTTTAACTTGTATTGAGCAAGCACAAACACTTTTTATATTCAAATATACTATCTAAAGATTTATAGATTTGAAATGGTTTGTTCACAAAAGTATTTAATCCAAAATTTAAACTGTCAAGTAAAAAAATGTCTTACCCTTTTATGGCGCTGAGATCGAGTTTCTTTACCTGAAGCAAAATAAAGCAAAAAACAGTTAATAAAGTCTCCTGGTATAAACTTTTTAAAACAATAGCACATAAACTATTCAAATTATAATAATTAAAATGGCTGCCATGTTTAGATATTATAGTATAAACAAGTATAAATAAAATGTTACTAATAATTAAATAAGTGATCCTGAAAAGGGCATAAGTCTGCAAAATTGAAAGTCTGCAAACTGTAACTCTAAGAAAATGAAAAAAATCGGTTTTACCAAAAAGTATATAGCTTAAGAAATTTGATTTTTAAATAATTTTAGTGATCATATGATGCATTATGATGGCCTTTCCAAAGTAAAAGGTAGACATTTTCGTAAAGACCACAATAACATCCTAAAAACACTGATTCAATTATTTTTTTATGAAAAAGTTTTTATTTAAGTTAATTTTATCAACAAATAACAACAATAGACAACAAAACTGTTTCAAATAAATTCTATCATTGCCATCTATTTTTAACATAACCAACAAAGTAAAAAAAAACTATTTCTTAACAAGATTAAACTATTGCATTCAAATGGTATTTTTAGCCATATACAAATGGTAAAAACTTCGAAGTGGCTTAACAGTACAAAGATGTTTCTCTAGCAATTGTCATTTTAAAATTATAATAGGTTTTTTTGCAACTTGTTGTAAAATTTATATTGTTTGGAAACAATCTTATGAATTAATAATGTATTAACACAATATCTTAAAACATGATCATTTTCAGCCACTTTAATCAGCCATATGACTTCCAAAGTAAAAATTTTATTATTTGTAGAATATGTTGACTTTTTCATCCCTAATAGAGCTTTTGTTTGTTTTGAGCATGGACTATATTGGATTATACTATATAAATCTAAACTATGTTTAAATTATTTTAAACAATTTAAACATAGTTTAGAGATTGTATCGTTCTTTTTCTCTATAATTTGATTTCTACTCATTCATTCATTTTAGCCGTTATATTTTAGAGCTATTTATTGAATATTGAATATTTTTATTCATTGAATAAAAATTAATAAATGATGTTAGTATCTTTACTTAACATGTCTTTATCATCAATATAATATTATGTTATTTATTATTATTACTTTTTGTTATATTATAATGAAAACTTTTATATTGAACCTTACACAACTAAAACAAAGAATCTTTTACTACATTAAAAACACTTGAATTTTTTTCAGTATAGTAAAAAATTACCACACCAAGCTGAAAGAGGCCATTACAGTTAAGGAAGCTGTTCAATTTTTCTTTTAATTTTGTTACAAAGTCTTCAAAACATGTAACTCAACAAAAAAGACTGCCACGCCAAAAAATGTCTACAATGGTTTTTGTTTAAACTTGTACCATTTATTTATTTACCAAGACCATCAATGACTGAAATGCTAACTTGTTAAATATGTTAAATTAAACTTTATAATCATACAATTGTGGCTTTATATAGTGAATATATCATGCTTCAGGGTCAATATGGGCATGTAAGACTTCAGGTATCTGTCTTTTTGGCTTCAGGGTTCATGTGGCTTTATGTAGGGTTTTATGGTTCATATAAGTGGCATCAGTTTCAATGTCAATTTTAATGTTTAAATTAAGATAACATAAGATAAATAACATAAGATACCTTTTTCATTGCAAAAATTTGTTACAGTCTTTAAACTAGTAAACTGCTCATCTTTGTCAACTGTTTTATCTGATGATGACGATAACTTTGTTGGAATAAAAGAACTTAAATTAATAGTATCATCAGGAACATATCGTTTCTGTACTTTAGTCAGCCTGCTATCAAGACGTATGGAACTAAATGTGTCTAAACAATACCTACAAAAAAAACAATACCTATAAAAAAAAAAAAAAAAAAAAAAAGCAATATTATTGTCACACAAATATTTACGCAGAATTTATTAATCATTTTTTACTCCCAGTGTGGGAGTGTGCAAATTTGCAAATGCATATTAACCTTTTTTTCAAAGTATTTATTCATATAAATAAGATGATTCAATAACCCTCTAAACATTCATTAAGCCAACCAATCATTAAACTATAATTGTTGCAATCAATCAATAAAGTTTGACAAATGCTTACAAATAACTACAATTTTATTTATGGATATTAAGTTAAAATAATTGACAACTTAAAAACAAATTTTACTTGTGGAATTTTTTTATTTTTAGTAAACTAAAACACTTCATAATTTAAAAACACTTAAAAAAAAAACAACAACAAAAAACTCAGTTGTATCCTTAATTTCTATATATAATCGACTTTATTGGTTCTTTTATACCAATATATCTGTAGTAGAAAATATTCTTTCCATTTCTTAAGTTTTATCTGTCAAAGAAGTCTGTTGGTTTCTTAAATATCTTTTGTAAGATAATAAGTTGGATAGTAATCTCTATCATAATCTCATATCTCCATTTAAAGTTCCTCATTTTTTTTGAAAAAAAAAACAGTAACAAAAATGAAGAAGTATAGTTAAAATATAAAAAAAAGTTGAAATATAAAATATTAAAAATAAAGCTTAAAATTCAATTTAAAAGTAAAAAAAATACTCTATCCCGTGCGCAATTAAATGTTTTGCTTCATCGAAAGAGAGTCCTTTTACATAGTCTAAAAAATAAAATCAAAAACATTGTTAAAGAAAGCAAAAAAAAAAAATTATGACTCAAATCTTAAATACGCAATACCTTCTGATTTTATATTTTTTAACAAGCAATCTGAAATTACTGGTATAGACTGCAGTTTACATGATTTCTTTAAATTTCCATTTTCATCAAACATCTCTAGTAATTCAACAACAGCATTCCTTTTTACTCCTATTAGAAAACATGTATTTTTAAATTTATAACAATTTTACTAATAATATTAAATTTGTAATGTTCTAAGGATCAAATCACATCTGAACAAGGACAAGTTTTAGAGATTTTAAAACCACTTTATAAAATTTAATTAGTACTTAATTATATGGGATTTATTTTGAAATTATTTTTTTAATTGTATACAAATAAAAACATAATTTTGCTTGAGCAACTCATTAATATTAAAATGAATACCTTGGGTGTTATCAATTTAGCCTATATGCCGATTCATCACAAGAAGTAATTTAATTAATAATAAAATTAAATAGCCAGGCTTTATTCCCACACTGCAAATCATTTTAGTAAGTTTGAATAGGAAGTGTTTTATTAGATTAGATTACACACTAGGGAGAAGAGCAAGAACTATACAAATTTTTATGAAAAAGAGTTCAGAAAAATATATATAAATGTAGTTTGTAAATGAAAAAAATACTTATTTCAACGCATAAAAAAAATTATAAAATAAAATTATTTTAGGTGCTTGTTGAACTTTGAAGAAAGTTTTTTATCAGTATTAAAACATTTTTCTTTTTTTACTAAATTTTAATTATGCGTTTTGTTCATTACAGCAAATAAATTGTTGTTTTTAGCACTAACTTATAAAGAGTAGTCTGAGCTCTATCCTTGGTCAAACTTTAAATGAACAGTGTTTTTTTTTTTGTCTTGCTAAATTTGGTTAAAAAATAATAAACATTTTAAATAACTAAACAAAGAGCTTCTGTTTTTATAAAGTAAATACCATAGAAGTTATTTGTAATTGTCATGTGAAAATATACTTGTTGAGGTATAAGAATGAACAACATAGACATTGTTTTAATAATTTAAACAAGCATGCAAAAATAGTGAAAAATTATTTTCATATTTAAATTCATATCTTTGTAAATAAATTCTAAATAATACTTTTTTTTCAATGTTATTTTTACTTTTATAGATTTTTTTAGAGACTAGTTTTTATTTGCCATAGCATTTGGTTTAATTCATGGTCAAATAGTTTGCACTAGTTGCAGAATAACATTGAATTGCAAACAACATTGATGTTGAAAGTTTTACATAAGAAAAAATCTTAATTTAAGATTTGGATGCTTACCTTGTTTGTTTTGAAAAATATCAAGCTGCTTATGAAAAACATAAAGTTAATAACATTAGAGCTGTTACACTAAAGACTGTTCCCAATATATTAAATGTATAAACAGCTGCACTTTATGGAAGTAAAAAAAACTTCTGTTAAAAAGTAACCACTTCAACCAAACACTTAAAAAAGAAAACTTTTTACACTTACTCCAGAGTTGGACAGCAATAAAAAGCAATATTTGTCGCCTTTAAAAAGATCTGTAACAAAAGATCTGTAACAGAGGTTCTTGAATTCTATCAATAATTTAATATTCAAGTAATATGTGCTGGAATGAAAGAACTTGTGTCAGTTAAAGTTGATGGTATAAAATAACATATAAAAAAATGTCTTCTTTTTAGTCAATATCAAAGATTTCCATATTGAATTTAAAATATCTTAAATTTTATTTTATACATGTGGGTGGTGCATGCAGATTTTTTTTATCAGTACCATCAAAATGTAAATTTTTTAGTGCAGAAAATACCAGGAATATTTTTATATAATATTTTTTATTGAATTCACCTCTCTAATTGCTAAAATTCCAAAGAGGACCACCACAGTCAAGTCAAGGGGACCACTGCAGTCAAAGAGGCTGCTCTTTTAATTCTTTCTCAACCTTAAACTTTAAAACGTGACTTCAAACTATGCCAAACAAGGCTGCTGCATGGAGAAACAGGTTAAGTGCAGTACTTACAGAAACATACTTGAGAAGGTGTATTAGAGAAGGTATATATAAAGCTCAAACCTTATGATTGTGAGCTAAAAGGTAACTACTAGTTAACTACTTTTTATCACTTCTATATTATTTTTCACTTAATTTCATTAATTTCACTACATTAATTTACTACATTAGTTTACTTCTGCATTACTTGTTTACATGACCAGTTTATAAATACCATAACATGAAAAATTCATGATCAGGCTATGATGGCTTATAATTTTTGAATGCAGCATTTTAACCAACTAAACTTTTATAAAATGTTTATTCATCACAAGTAGATCAATATCCAATTTGATTTGTAGCAATTTTTAAAATAAATTTTTAAGAAAAACTTCTTTAAAATCGCAAAAATTTAAATTAAAAAAAAATATATTAACTTTAACTCACTATTATGAAAAAAAAACTTAAATTTTAATTCATTTTCTTTTAAAGTATCCAAAAACCCATTTTGCTTGAACAATGCAAATATTATGCAAAATAACCCACTATTTTAATATTCTTTTTTCAAAAACTTTATTAAGTAATTAAATTGAAATTTTCAAATATGCTTTTCCCATATATATGTACACAGTCAAAAAGTTTTATTAAAATTAGAGAGGTCCATGAGGGACCAAATATAAAACTTGGTCCATTTGCTAAAGAATAAATCTACTTCACATTAAACTAATTGCTCTTAACTGGCAAAAGATTAAAAACAATGGGTGTCAAACAAGTAAAGTACCTTGAAAAATGTATGACCAAGCAGTTAGTCCCATTCAATTTGGAGCAACAATTGTAAATATGTAATATGTAAATATGTAAATATAATTTTGGCCTGATTTAGCCTTATTAACCTATGCAAAATCAGTTACAGATTGGTAACAAGCACAAAAGATACAACTAGTACTTAAAACATAAATCTAGCAAAAGGTTTTTAAATCATTTTTAAACAAGAAGCATGAATGGCTAGACTAATGATCGTTACAATCAAGAAATCAGGATCAGATATTGTCTTAAAAAAAGTCGAGGTGATACAAAAGTTCTGTAACATATAGAAGTTTTGGATTGACAACACAAAAAAGAAGTGACCAAATCCACAATTCCATTATAAAAGACACCATAATAGACATTGAGAGGGATGAATCATACTCAATAGCAGTACTTTTTAAGTAATGAGAGGTAAAAAAAAAGTTTTAAATAGTACGAAACAATAAAAAAAAAGTAATAAAAAATATAATAATAATTAATAATAAAAAAAATGTTATATAAAATATACTAGTGGGAAACCAACCTTGCTTTAATGTATCAGGTACAGATATTGCAACTCCATTCATAAAGAAATCATCAGATTTACAACGAGAGATTGATCTAAACAAATAAATGTAAATATACATATATATATATATATATATATATATATATATATATATTTAATATTCTTATACTTAAAAAAAATATTATCCACTAAATTAAAAAAAGTGTAAGTCAAAAAAGTTTCTTAATAATTTTTTTTCAACTTTTCTGTTGTATAACTTAGTAAATTTACAGAAAAAAAGCCAAAAACAAACAAATTTGATTGATAGAAGTTATTTTAACTAATTGCTTAGCAAAGTTTGTTTTCTTTTTATGTTCTTAATAAAAAAATCATGGTGAAAAGAGATGAAACTCATGAATCAGTAAAATAATTGATCCTGGGACACTATAAAAGTGGAAAATGATATAAAACTATTTCTAAAATAGTAAGTGTTAAGCCTAATAGTGTAGGAATTATCATTAGAAAATATAAAAAAATGGGTGCATAAAAAATTTGCTAAGAAAAGGACGCCCAGCAAAGACTACCTTACACATTGATAGAGAAGTTATTTAAAAATTTGAACAAGATCGAGGATTATCTGCACCAAAGCTGAAAAAAGATTTACAAACAGATCATGGTATAACTGTAAATCCTCAAATTGTTTGCAATCCCTAAATGTATGAGACCAGCTGTCAAGCATGGAGGAGGTAACATTAGGCTTTATTATAACATTTCAATATTATATATACTTCTAACTTATTTTTTCCTCTTTTCATAGATCAAATGATGGTTTGGTACCCCTTTGCTTAGAGTGGTGTTGGCGAACTGGAATTCATTGACGAAATAATGATAATAGAGGTTTATAATGATATTGATACTGAGAGATAGAGAGAGAGAGATAGAGATAGAGAGATATATTTATACTGATTTTGATACTAAGAGGTTTATACTGATATATTGAAAAATGAGATCAAGCGTGCTGGCTTATCTTGTAATTTTATCTTTCAACAGGATGGAGATCCTAAACACACATCAAAGTTAGCTACTCAGTGGTTAAAAAAAAAACAGTATTAAGATGTTAGATTGGGTTCCTCAGTCACCAGACCTAAACCCGATTGAAAATTTATGGAACCTTTTTAAAATTAAAGTAGCTGATCAAAAGCCATCATTTGTCACAACTAAAGACGATTCTCATTGAGGAGTTGGAAAAATGTGATCCACAATAGCTTAAAAACTTAGTGAATTCAATGCCTAAAAGATATCTTGCAGTTATTAAGGCAAAAGTTTTGTTTTTATTGTCTGCTGTGCAGACAAGCTTTGTCAAAAACAGAGCCACTTGTTTTTGGAACAAAAATCTGTTTTTTGCCTAATGCCCAGCAACTTAACCAACTTAATACCCAGCAATTTAACCAGCTGTAGTTATGGTGTAATTGTCTGCAGAAGGTAAATCTGACGTTATTTTGATTTCTTGTGTTTCTTTTGCACTTAATTTGATTTTTTTCTGAACCGGAGAATTAACCAAGAAGCAACTAGTAATTTTTTTTCATATTTAGTTGTGTGTTATTTTGGTTAATTGATATTTTTATATTACTGTCGTAAATAGCACAAACTTTATGTTTGTGTTCTAAAAATCATAATAAGGCATTATGAGATATTCAGACAAACATTGCAGAGAAATAATAGAATTTCTTAGAAATGCAAATGGTTGTGGAATTGATATTTGGACAAAAAAATATTTGGCATCATAAAAATTAACAAAATAAACAAGAAAAAAAGTTAAAGTAAATTCTTCTCAAGCAAACTTAGTTTTTACTAAGAAACAATAGATTCTGAAACGCAGCACTGTAATTTTTTTACATCTGCAAAATATGTTTTACTTTTATTTACATTTTCAATTTAAAGAATTTTTAATACAACTTTTTTTTTGATTAAAAATGTTTAATACTTAAAAATGAAACACTGCACCTGATCTTTTAACTATCAAGATACTAAATGAAATGGAACCTGATTTTATGAAACTTCCCTCCAAGTGCAAATATATCATGTACATATAGTTTTAAGTAAATTATGGACTCACTTATTTTTAAGTAAATTATGGACAAACTTATTTATTTTCTTTTTGTAGGATGTATCAAGTTTTATTACAAAACACCATTCAGCAATTAAATCAAACAAAGACTAACAAATATTAATTTGTCAAAAATAAAAACACTAACATACTAGTGTCTCTTAACCATATGTAGTCTCGTCAATCATTTAATCTGCACTAATTAAATCAAAAACACTCTAACAAGTGTTTAAAACAATTTAAAAAAAAATGAATTACATTCAATAAAAACTCCTCAAGGTTTTAATACATTCTAGATATTCAATTGGAAAATGGTGTGTCATTTCGTCCTAAATTACTAAAACTTTGGGTCCACCAAACCCCAAAGCCTTGGCAGGAGTAAATGAGTGCAAGAGCGGAGAACTCCTAAAACGAACAAGACAAGCCATGCGAACTGCTCTTCTAAAAAGCTTTTTATAAGAGCTTTTTAAGCTTTTAGGCTTTTTTTTTTTTTTTTTTAGGTTTTATGCAAACTATTTATTCATTAAAAATCCTTTTTAAATACAAATTTTGATTTAATATTCGTTACAAACAAAGTTTATGTAAAAAGAATAACATAACGTTGTTTATTGTGTCATGATGAAATTTTTTAAAGTTTTCTTTGGGTATTCACACTAGCTATTCAATTAATTATAAACAACTTATTTGATAATTTATTTTGTTATTAAGTTGTTTATAATTAATTTATTAATTATAAACAACTTATTTGATAAAAAATTTGATAAATAAAGAGCTACAAAAGTTTTTACTGTTTATAAAAAATATTTTTTAACTTACTCTAATAGAACGTAGGAAGTTTAAGAATTATTAAAACAAAGATTTCAAATTTAAAGTATTTATATAATTACAATTTTTTTTTAGCAGAACATTTAATTGTGCATTATATTTTTCTATTTTGCTCAAATTGAGATATTTAAATATTTTATTATAATTAATAGGGGAAAGCGGGGCAACATGGCGAATGGGGCAAGATGGGTTTTCATATAACAACTCAACAAAAAATCTTAAAATTGGTTGAAAACGAAACTGTATTTTCATCTTGTATTTTAAAACACCAATTGGTTTTTTGAAATATTATCAACGCAATTTTATATGCATAAGTTTACTTTTTGCGCTTAAAAAAAAATTCCTCACTTTCGGTTTCTCATAATGGATGGTGTCCTTCAAGTTTAACTTCTTTAGAAGTAGTTTTTTGCCATTTGTGTTTATTTTGTGTTACTTTAGTTAGATTTTTTGGTAGTTTTTAAAATTTTATAAAATTGGAGGTAAAAATTGCATAATAAGTCATCTTGCCCCGGTCATGTGATTAAATAACAAATTTATGAACTTTTTATTTTAATATTTATTTCAAATTGTTATATTTGCAAATTGAAAATTCATGCAGGCAATGAAGGATTTTGATAACATAAACATACTGAGAAAGTATTATTGCTTCACAGCTGGTAGTTTTGCAATAACTCAGGGCTTTCAAAACGTTCGCCATGTTGCCCCGCTTTCCCCTATATAAAATATATAAGCCATTACATAATATAAAAATTATTATGCAATAATTTAGAATTTTATATTATAAATATGAGTTTAAGCAAAATAAAAAAAAGCAGTTATAACATTCAAAAAGAATATTTTACTTTTTTAAATGTATTTTTAAAAATGTTTAATATTATAAACTTAATTTTAAATAACAGCTTCAAAAGGAAAACATTGCCTTGACTTGAGAAAAGATTTACTACAGAATATTATCAATTTATTTATTAATAACTGCATTTTTATAAGAAACTGATTTGTTATTTCAGAAACCAATCAATTAGTCCAGTCAAAATAAAAACATTTGCATTTCAATTATTTTTTATTTCTTTAATTAGCTCTTTTTAATTTTTTTAATTTTTATTTGCAATAACTGTCTTTTTAAAAGTTTATTATGCAATTACTGGTTTACTTTGAAAACAATTTTTGTATTTTTCATATTAGCTACAACGATATAGTTTTTTTCGCTCCTGTAAACCACTTTAGGGAAGTGTGGGTAAGAGCTAAAGCTCTTGCTTCTTGCTGAGGCCTGAAACGAGGTCAGCACAATAATCAATATCTTATTTCCAAAAAGTTTATTCCACTTATAAATTTATATTTTTTGACATCCAAACTTATCCTAGTAGCAATTTTATAACTTTTTCAATTTTTATTTTAAATTAAACTATTTGTAACATCTGTATAAGTGGTTTTTTTTACATTCTGAATTTCCAACATCTTTTCTATCTTGATTTTCTTATGATTGTTTCATAGAAAAAGTAATGTTTTCAATTTTTTTGCATGAAAGTTATGTTTTTTATTTAAAAGTTAAAAAAGGTGCACTTTTACAAGTTTTGATAATTTTTTTTTTTAAGTTTTAGAAAACTCAGTTGGTTATCCCGTGCAAATTATAAATGATATTGATTAAGTATTTTCTTAAAAGTGCCCAAGCATGCTGTAAAGCTATAGGAGATAACAGTAAATGCGAACATTTGTATTGCAACTATTTTAAACATTTTTTTATAACAACTTCATTCTCAACAATGCTGCAAGCAATCACTATTTAAGTTGGTTGTTAACATTATTTAAATTAGGCATCATTTATGTTGGGTTTTAACATTATTTAAGTTGGGTGTTAACATTATTTAATTTGGGTGTTAACATTGCTTAAGTTGGGTGTTAACAGAAACAATAATGAGAATTAAAGAGCACAATTAAAATGGTTAATGTAATTGTAAATGTGGTTTAAGTTACTTAAACTTGGTAGCTACAGCAGATCTAAATTTATATTTTTTCTTTTCTAAAAGAAAAAGAGCATCATTAAAAGAACCAGCTTAAATATAATAACATTAATTTTACAAATAAATTTATAAAAATAAGAGATTTCAATTAAAGATAGAAAATCTTTTTTCAAGACAAGACTGATAAAATAGTATACTAAATAGAAGAACGAAAAGAATAAATATTATATAATAAACATTATACATTATACCATACATATATAGTGTAAATAAACCTGTTCAAAAAAATTTCCTTGATATTAAAATAAAATCAAAACAAATTTGTTTGGGACTATCTATGTATGTATATCAACTATTTCTAATAAATTTGAGTTTTTTACCTTGATACTTTGGAAATGTTTTCTTCAGCATCCCATGAAAGTTTTTCACACCATTCATCTGCATTATTGAAACCTTAAGCAAACTTTTTCATATTCATCCATTTTTTCCTTTTTAATTAAAATTAAATTCATCAAAAAAGTTCTAATAAATTATTTATTACTTTATTATAACTTAATTCAATTATATTTATTATTTTAATATAATACTTATTCAATTATATTTATTATATTATTATTAATTTAACTTTATCTTTAAAAATTAGAAATTTAAATTTTCTGTTAATAATTAATTTAAAAAATGTTTTTTTAAAAATCAAAGAAAGTATAATAAAAATGTCAAATAAAAATTAACTCAAAAATAAAACCTAATGACAAACCAACCAATCATCATTTACTTAATTTCTTTTTAACAATTAAAATTTCATCCTTTAATATTAATATTAGAAAATTTATATTAAATAAAGAAAACAAAACTTATAACTAAAGCTGTACTAATTTTATAATAAAAGTGTTTACAAAAGTAAACTGTCTGTAGAAAACAATTTAAAAAAAGACTATTAAATACACTTTTACCTTTTACCCAAATACCTTTTACCTAAACATCTTTTACCTAAATACCTTATAAAAAAGAATTGATTAAATACACTATTATAGTTAGTTGACTTATTTAATTTAAACACATTTTTCACAAAAATACTTTTATTCTGAATAAATATTTTTTGAAACAAAACTATATAAAAAAGCCCGATGTACTAATTTTTATTTGATATAATATTTTAAAAGTAAATATGACTCACTAAATGGGATATTTTCTTGGCTCATATTAAGCAGCTCTAAATACCCTTCAGAGTTGATAGCATGTTTTTGATGCAAGAAGTATAAAATTGAACTGTTTGATTCGTGAGTTATCAATACTACTGCATGCTTGGAAAGTTTCATAGGTTCACATGCTATAAAAAATATTGCAAATATTTTTAATTAAAATTGATACTTTAAATTATACTTGCATTACAATATGGCTAATACTCTTAATGAAATAAAATTTCTTGTTTTTTGATGTCACATCATAATGGTAAATTTCAAGACCTACAGGTTTGTTCAAAATTAAATTTCAAGACCTACAGGTTTGTTTAAAATAAAAAACCAACAATTACCTAGATACTGAGTGAAATCTTGAAGCAAAAACTGTTCCCAGTCATGTGTTGTTTTGACTTTGTTTTTTCCAACATAATCGTATTTTAGTATTCCTATCCACCAACATCCCTTTCATTTAAAACATAAAAATTAAAGTAATTCATATGAAACAAGTAACTTTTATTAGAAGTAAACATTGATTATAAAACATTTATTAATGTAAAAAGTGAAACCCACTGCTGCATGTAGTGAAGATTTAGACACGTGTTCTGTGTCTTAGACAGGATTTGGTTTTCCTAACTACCATTTTTTTCTGTTCTTTTCTAAATGCTGCATATCTTAAGCTTCCTTCATAGCTTAACTGTAATGCTGTATTATAATAAACGGACACACATGCTGTATATTTAGTTAACACCCAAAATAATTAAACTGTCACATTCTTCTTTCTTCATTCTGATTTTGGATTATTCAAGCTTGTTCTGATTAATCCAAAACCAAAATAATCCTGATTTTTAATAATAGAAAATGTCATTGGTATTATTGTTACTAGCATGTTATTATTCATATTTTATATAACTTTATATTTATTCATTTATTTATTTGATATGATTATATAAATTTTTATATATTATGTTAATATATTTTAATATAATTAATTATAAATTTAAAAAATTAATAAATAAATGTAGCAAAAGATTAAATGTTTAACAAAATTAAGGATGCTATCTTAAAGGGATTTGTTATATAATATATATTTATGATAATAACTTTGTAATAAAGAAGTTTGTGGTGAGGTTAATTCTTATTGAAATAACATATAAAAAAAAAAAAGTAATCAAAGTATTGATTTTTTTAATTAACCAATGAAAAGATCAATAAATTTTTTGAATCATTTTGTTGCTTTTTTTAACATAAATTCTTTCTAAGTAATTTAAATGGAATGAAACTTTGTGAACCATTGTAAAAGACTGCAGGGGCCAGAATCATAGCTGCAGGGGCCACAATTATTGAGAAGACTACTTTTTTTTTAAATTGTTAATACAAATTTCTTTCAACCCTTTACGAATATTGACATGCATGGCTGCTGTATGGAGAAACAAGTTCAGCGCAGTACTACAAGGGACTTGGTGGAATTAAACTTCAAACACCTCATTTAAAAAGTCAGCGCTCTAACACTACACTACCACCACATTTACATTTCAACCATGTAAAACAATTTATACTGACTTCAAACTTAATGTACTTTAACTTTACGAAATAATTATTGTTTACTTTTACTTTACTGAATTCGATTTTAATATTGTGCAACAATTAATACCTACATCTACTTTAATGAACTTTTATGTAGTGAAATAATTTTGTAACAATTAAAAACAATTATGGTCAAAAATGATTTTTCAAAAATGTTTTTAAGAAACTAACCTTAGGTGTAAGTAAATCAATGGGATCTTTTGTAGAGCCAACATTGCATCTTTCAAAAGTTAAGAAAATGATATTTATTATTATTATAATTGACAATTAAAAAATTTGTACAGTAACATTTTTTTAACAAAAATATCAAAATATTAAAATGCTTTATAAATTAAATTAAAAAAAAAATAAACTTAAAAAATGTTAAAACTGAAAGGATACAAATGAAATTTTTCAGGTATCACATAATGAAATGGGATATCACATTGTTCAATCAACATAACCAGATGTAAACATGTATCAAGAAGCAGTTGCTGGTCTTCCCTTGAAAAATATTTTATTAAAAAATATTATTATCAAATATATATATTTTTAAAACATCTTCACTTCCAACAAAGCTGCAAGCAACCACAGTTGGAAGTTATACTTCAATTTATCATTTAATATATTATATTTCAGACAACATCAAGTATTGCTATTGCTAATTGATTTACTAATAACCAGTATTACAGGTTGTTTGCCACTAAGAAAATTATGGGTTGCTTACAGCTAAAAAAGCAAAACTGAAAATTGTTTCCTTTAAATTGTAACTCTTTGTTAAATTGATAAAAGGATATACTTTTTTTTTCCTATTGTTATATTATTTATTAATTGTTATAAAAAATATATTTTGTTCATTTTATTGTTATGTATAATAATTTATTATACTTATCTAGGGGATCTCCATAAAAAGGAGGATTGAAAGTTTAAAAAAGAACTTAAATTTAAAAAAATATGTAAACAAGGTAGAAATATATACACAAGGAGAACATTGTAGTGTTACTATATTAATTTTTACTAATCATTTGTAAATTATTGAAGTACTTATATTATTACCATGTTTATCTAACTAATTAGTTTAGTCTAGATTTGCAACACTTTTGAGGAAAGAAAAAATTAACTTAAGTGAAAAAAAATACTAAAACTAAATTTTTAGTAAACTAACTAAAACTCCTTGAATTAACTCAAACTAACTAGTTAACTTGAAGCTAATATGTAGTATTAATATTTTTCACAGTTTACTAAAACGTTTTAAAATAGACTATAAATGACAAGTATATAAATGGTAGGTTTGGAACACAACTAAATTTTTTGAAAGTTGTTGAAACTAAAATTAATAAATATAGAAATTGTAGGTGTAGAACAGACTTAACATCTAGTCTAGACATTTGGACATCTAGTCTATAATAATTAGATGAATTAATAATAATTTTATATTTAATTTGATACCTTATTACAGTTATAAACAAAATTTTATAAGAATATATTTTGAAATATAATGTAAAATTCAAATATAAGAATTTAATTTTGAAATACAACGTAGAATTCAAACATAAAAATATATTTTGAAATACAACGTAGAATTCAAATATAAAAATATATTTTGAAATACAAAATAGAATTCAAATATAAGAATATATTTTGAAATATAAAGTAGAATTCAAATATAAGAATTTAATTTTGAAATACAATGTAGAATTCAAATATAAAAATATATTTTGAAATACAAAGTAGAATTCTAATATAAGAATATATTTTGAAATACAAAATAGAATTCAAATATAAGAATTTAATTTTGAAATACAACCTAGAATTCAAATATAAAAATATATTTTAAAATACAAAGTAGAATTCAAATATAAGAATATATTTTGAAATACAAAGTAGAATTCAAGAGAGAATTTAATTTTATAATTGATAAAACAATTTAGTTTTACAGTCACAAATTTAATCATGAAAATAATTAAAGTATTAAAGGCTTTTGGCTTCTCAAAGATTGAAGATTGAAGGTTTATAATACAATTCATTAAATGACAGTCATCGCTTAATCCTGAATGTAAGCATGGCACTGGATAAGAAAAAGAAAAATCTTACTTACAAATAATAAAATAAAATACAAATTATTTATGAGTGTTTAGTTATATTCTTACTGAGAATTGTCCATAAAGATGTTTTCATTCTTGAATATAGTATCTTCCAATCCTTTTATGTAATAATACCCTAATTCAACATTCATAGTATTCTGAAATAAAAACAAACTAATTAATAGAAAATAAAAAACAATAAATTTTCTAACAATTTTATTGTATTACTTGTTTCTCCTATAATTTATTAATTTAATTATATTTAGTTTATGTAATTATACTTTACAAGTGAGAATGGTAATAATAAGGATTTCTGTATTATCATAAATAATGTGTATTACTATTTATTTAATGCTTTAAAAAAAAAATTAAGCTGACTGTTTTATTGTAAGTTTTTAAACGTACCTGTTTTAACTTAACACTGATGTTTCCTTGCCATACCAGGTGCCTCAAATGAATAGAGATCATTTCAGCTTCATTAATATAATGAAAATCAATGTGATCAAGCCAATGTCTTTAATGAAAAAGATACAAATGCCTTTAATGAAAATATAAAATTATTATTTGGATTTATTCACCTCAACAAAATCAAGGAGATCATCAAAGTTAAAGGAGACTACTTTTTTTTTTTTTAAAGAGGTTACTAAAGTTGAAGGAAGCTTTTATTTTTATACTTTCCCTGCAATTTATGCCTGCTTTATACTGCAGTAAAAAAGGACTTCACTACAAACAGCCAAAACCCTATATTCATCCAAATTTGAAAAGCACTAATATTTTTGAAGAAATAATATGGATAGTGAGAGATGTGAATTCAATACAAAATACTATAACAAATTTAAAAAATAAATAAAATTAAATAAACATATACATATATATTCTTTTTTATTAAGGAGGTCACTAAAGTTGAAGAAGGCTACTCTTTTTTTTAGGGAGTTACTAAAATTAAAAAAGAAATATATATATATATATATATATATATATATATATATATATATATATATATATATATATATATATATTTAAAAAGTCGCGGACAAAATGTCCGATTAAATCTTGTTTGGATCAAATTTTTAAAATATAATTTTTCCGGTTTTAAGGAACCAAGTTATGCTATTGACATCTTTGTCATATTTTTCAGTTTATATAATGTTAGTCTAGTGAAGTTGTAGTTTCTTTCGTTATTATTTAGAGCATTGCAGATTTTTGTTTTTAATAGAATAGTTTTAATTTAACGTGAAGACTTAAAATAAAATCTTAAATTAATTATAATATAGATCGTTTAATATAAACATGTTATGTGTAAATTAAATGTTATACTTAGTTTTTTTTCAAAAGGTATGTATTTTTTATGATAAATTAAAATGTTTGAATCTATTTTTACATGTCTTTTTTAAAATATTTTTAAAATAATAATTTCTTAAGTTACTTTAAACTATGAAAAAGTTAAAAGTTAAATTAAATCTTCCCATGATTTATTTGCTTTATTTATTTATTTATTTTTTCTACTTTTACAATTAACTGTTTAAAGGTTTTTCTAACTTGACTTACTAATTAAAGCACGAAATGATTAAAAATTACAATTTTAAAAAGTGCTAATGATAAAAAAAAAAAAAACAACGCACCTTACAGGTGCGGACGATCTATGTTACTTTTTCAATAATATAATAATAAATCAATAATTATCAATCAATAAATGTAATTAGTAAAAGCGTTTTGCGTAACTTTTTAAAGCAATTTTTTTTAAATGCAATTAAAAACATAACAAAAAGTAATTTTAACTTCAAGTTTTTATGGTTCTATTTTAAAGCTAACTTGTTTTCTTTTTTGTAAGTAATTATTTAATTCTTTTTCGTTGGGAATTGTTTTGCTTATTTTTTAATTTTTTCCTTGTTTAAGTTTAGCTTAAAGTGTCTATTTTAGGGGCTGTCCATTAATTAGGTCAATAAACTTTTTGAAATTTTTACCTCCCCCTCCCCCTTGTCAACAATTTGTCAAATTTCTAGAGACCCCCTATAAAATTACATCAATTTTTGATTACCCCCCCCCCCCCTCCTATACAGAGAAGCGACGCTACAAATTTTCCGTTATTTAAGCAATAAAACTCAAAAAAAAAATTTGTTGACATCAACTTTAATTGATCTCCCCCCCTCCCCCTTGTCAACCATTGTTCAGACCCCCCTCCCCCTATTTTGTTGACAAAATTAATGGACAACTCCTTAGCGCATTTCTGAAACATTTAAATCACCAAAACATCTAAACAATCGTGGTCAAGTTGTAAACAAAAAAATTATTTGCGTGGTCAGCAATAGCATTCGATCGCACGCCAAGCTTTATTTTATAGAATTTACTTCCTGTCAGTTAAAATGTCCCATAACTTTGTAAATTGGCCAGACAATCTGAGGTTTTATCCGGACAATGTCCAATGTCCGACCGTTAAATTGAGCCCTGTATATATATATATATATATATATATAAAAAGATAAAATAAATAGCCCCACAGATGAAAAATAAGTTGAAACAGCTATCTGTGATGTCCTCTGTACATACACTCAGCAAAATTTCTATTGTTCCATGTAGTTATTGCAGATTTTATGCGGAACGCATTTATAAAATTAACCACAAAAATTTTCTTCATTAAACCTATTGCAAACAAACGCCTTTATGACAATTTTATGTGTTTCTAAAACAATTAGAAATAAATTTTCTAGAATGTTTTAAAAATTGCTATATATAAAGGCAAAATCTCCATAGTTTCATTAGTTTGTTTTGAACACTTAATAAGAGTTGAAGTTTGAGTCAGATTTTTTAGTTTGTTTGTTTTATATGGAAATTTTGATTTTTAATTAAGATTTGTTATTTAACTATTACAATGCCATGTGGAAAGGTGTCAAATGAGGAAGAAAAAGCAAAAATTGTTGCTTACAAAGATATGGGTTTGCCCAATCGACAAATTGCAAAGAAAATTACAAGGTCTCATAATGCAGTGAACAATTTTATAAACTTAGGTAAAAATTACAACAAAAATCAATTTAGGGGAGGAAATAAAAAAACAATCAAAAGGCAACATTCTTCTATTTTGCGTTTAGCGTCTTCTGGAGTATGAACAGCAAGACAAATAAGGACTGAACTTAAATTATCTGTGACTTCAAGTCAAGTCCAACTAATTTTTTTAAAATCAGGACAATTTCAATGGAAAAGAATGATCACAAAACCACTATTGACAAAAAAACATAAAAGAGCAAGATTTAAGTTTGCAAAGGATCACATGATAGGATGCGGAATGGAAAAATGTTATTTTTTTCAGACGAAAAAAAGTTTAACTTAGATGGGCCTGAGAAGATACTGTAAACTGGATTTTTCAACAAGATAATGCAACAATTCACACGACAAAAAGTGTAAAAAAGTGGTTCCAGGAAAAAAAATATAAATGTTTTGGATTAACCATCATGTTCACCTGACTTGAACCCTTTTGAAAATTTATGGGGAATATTGGCGTGAACTATATATGCAAATTCTCCACAGTATACAAGAACTTAAAACATCTATACAACAATCATGGAGTGATATTTTAAAGGTTTATTTGAAAAATCTTATAAAAAGTATGAAAACTGAATCTTCGAATTAACTGAATCTTCGAATTGTAAAAGGTAGTAGCACACATTATTAAAAACTGAACTAATTTAAAAATTATTATCTAGAACGAAAATAATAAAGGATTACCTTTGATGAAACTATAGAAATTTTGCCTGTTTTTTCGATATATTTCTAACTTTATAATTTTACGAAATAAATTAATTATTTTCTATTAAAATATTATTTGCTTATTTATTTATTCCTAATAATTCCTGTTATAAACAAACAAAAAAAATGCAAATACTTCGTGAATTTATTTATATGTACAAATTGTAAGTGGAACTATGGAAATTTTGTTGAGTGTTTAAGTGCTGAGTGACTAAGAGTTCGGAAAATACTTTTATGGATAAAAAAAATATGGTTTGACTAGAAAATAAGTTCTTGTTACAGTTTCTCTGTAGCAACAAGATCAGAACCTCCTGATTACTAATTGTTTGTTGCCTTTCTTTGTTCTCTCTACTTTGCACTTGTTTTTTTATAACTATAAATAATAGAACTGAATTTTTATTATTTTTTCTTTATTCATTTTTTATTTCATATTAACTCACCAAGGCCATGAAGGCCACTATTCAGTTGAGGAGGCTACTTTTAATTGTGTTTACAACCCTCTCTCAACTCTATAACTTTAAAATACGAACCTTGGCAAACAAGGCCGCTGCCCGGAGAAACAAGTTGAGCGCAGTACTACCAGGGACATGGTGGGGATCAAACTTGAAAATTCTCTCAAGGCGAACGCTCTACCACTATACCACTACCGCATATAATTTCTAAAACGTAAAAAAAAAAAGTTGCAAGTAAATAAGCAAATTGCATAATTTCATATTTTTATAGATGAGTACAATATAATGTAAATTCATGAATAAAAGAAGCCAAATATTTTTGTCAACATACCCATAAGTTATCTTAAGTGTAGTATAATTTTTTCAATATCAAGCTGATGAAGACCAGCATGTCAAACATTGAAAAACCTTTGATATGTCAAGAAAAAAAGATTTTGCATCATCGCTACAGAAGTAAAATAACCAGTAGTAGAGCAAATGAATTTTGATTTTCAGATAGTAAGCTAAACTCAAGATGATATTTTTGTTAATGCTTATCATAGATAGATGGCTAATTGAGCAAGTAATGAGAGTTCTGGAGAACACTTTTAAGACTGACTGAATGCCACAGCATTAAAGAAAAAGACTTCACTTATTATTCCAATTTATAATCACAATTCAATTTCCAAGTACATTTTATATTTAAATCATATTTTTCAAATTAAATTTCAATTTACAATGCCAATTTATTATAAGTTATCCCTTAGCCAATATTATTGTTTATGGTGATTATTCACTGAATGGCTTGGTATCAATACCACTGACCCTGCTGGTTCTCAAGCTCAAAATGTTTTCATTCTTAATCTCTTACTTAGATATTTAACTTTTTCCAGACATCCCTAAATATTTAGCTTCACATCTTGATTTAAATCTTGTCTCTGACCCTAGTTTGTGCTAAGTTTATCCTTGCTCTTTAGGTGATTCATATCAGGATTTTTTCTACATCAGACTCAACCTAAAATTCCAATTCTTACAACAACCTTAAGGCTGATTAAGGATATTTATGGTTTAGACCTTGTTGACAGTTTTATTTGGCTATAAATCTTACTTCTTTCATCTTTTCCACCATTTCTTTTTTATTTGGCTATAAATCTTACTTCTTTCATCTTTTCCACCGTAACAACTCTTTGAAGAATGAACATCTTTTCATAATTGTAAAAAATGATGAAAAGTATTTTATTTATTTAAATTTTCTGACAATCCATTCTTAGATTACTAAATCTCAAACTTTCTTTTAACTGAGAAGTTTAGGTTTAAACTAAAAGGTTAGGTTCTAGAAATCTTGGAAGAATCTTTAACAATATCATTGACAAAGACAAGTCTAACATTCCATCTTTCATACATGGGTCTTATCTTATTATTTGTTCCAAGGACAAGACAAAACTATTTGCAAAGAAATTTTTTCCAAATTCACCTCATGCATCGAATGACCACACTTTCTGTCATCCCAAAGAAACAAGTTTATCCTCTGTCAGAGATCTAAATCACTTCTACTTCTGTTGTTATAGGTACATGACTTACTGAATTTTCTTTTTTTTTTTTTTTTTACTGAGTTTTCAAATTTCATTTTGTCAAAAATCTATAATTGAAATAGTGAAATGCGAAAAAATGATGAAATGCAAAAAAAATTTATAAAAAGGGAATATCAAATCTGATTGCATAAAGCAAATATGTGGTAGTGGCATAGTAGTAGTAGATACTAGGTAATAAGTGACAAGTAAACAACACAAAATGTGACTAGTGGTATGTGACTATATAACTAGTGGTGTAGTAGATACTAAGTAATAAGTAAACAACACAAAAATAAAATCATTTAAAAAAACTGTGTTAAGCACATACATTTATTATTTAAACTAGATATTTTTATATCATAAAAAAAACATGCATATTCATGAAGTTAATATTAACCTCTCAACCAGAAGTATAATGACATAACAACAAGTGTTTTTTGTAAATGCAGCACATTCTATTTCAAATCTCCTTAATTTGAAAACCTTTATAATTTGATTAAATGCTGAGTCACCATGAGATGTCACTATGACTAATTACCTTTTTATAATTCAAAAATCCCTTTATTCTGGACTTTCACTTTCCTCTATAAAATCAATTTTATCTTTTAATTAAAACTTAAGTGGTCATGTCACAGCATGGAACTTACAGTGGCAGATAAATTTTAAAACAAAAATAAACTATTTACTGCTAACAACTATTGCAGTATTGCTGATATTCGTATACTGTAATGCCACTTCATACATGAAAAATTACACATTGCCCTTTAGTATTTAATTCAATAATTTCTTTTATAATGAATTTATTTTTGGTATATTATTTTTTTAACATAAATAACTTTGCTACATGACCTTTTTCAAGACCTTTATATTTAGAAAGGTTTGATTCAAACACATTTGATCTTTTCTTTATTATTCTTGATTTTATCTTGATGATATTTATAATTTTACTTAAGAAAAAATATTTCATTACTATACCTTACAAAAAATAATGTCACGAATAATATGAGTAATAACAATATGATATGAATAATAACAATATTAATACAGGGTTATTCATTCTTACATGCGCGTCTATTCATTATATGCGCATTTATTCATTCTTATATGCGCCCTTATTCATTCTTATGTACACATTTATTCATTCTTATATGCAAATTTATTCATTCTTATATGCGCATTTATTCATTCTTATATGTGCATTTATTAATTCTTATGTGCGTTTTACAAAAGCAATTATAAAAAAGCAATTTGAAAAAAAAGTTTATTTTTTCAAAACAAATTTTTCTTATTTCCTGGTAAACGAGATTAAAAATACTCAAGACGAAGACTTTTTACATTCGATGATGGTTTACTTAATTTAGTATTAGTTCATTGTTTAATTTTCTTATTAAGTTTGTTGATTGATTAAGTTATTATTCATCTAATTATTTACTTATCTAGATTTGAATTTAATTATTTATAATTACTAATAATATCAGATTTTTACCCTATGGATGGAATAGAAAATAGAAGAAAAAATGTTACAAAAGAGCACATTGAAATGCTTAAGCATTTCAATGTGTTCTTGAAAGAAATTTGAAAAAGAAAGTTGAAAGAAATTAATCTACAACCAGGGCCAGCGCGAGTAGGTGTCACGTGGAGGGGTGCCATTATAACTTTTGCAGACTTATCTTTCTGTAGCAGGCTTCAACATGTCTCAGCCTACAATTTCAAGAAAACTAAAACGGTCGTATTTATCAAGAAAACGTTTTGTTTTGTATGTGCCAGAAGAACGAAACTCAACGCGAGTTATTAAAGCACGCTATGCATTTGCAAGCGAAATTAACGGAATTTCAGATAAAAAACTTATTTATTTGGATAAAACTGGATTTAATGTGCACACTAACAGCACATATGGTTATTCGCTAAGAGGTACGCTAGCAATTTTACAGTCACCTGCAAATCGTGGCAAGAATATTAGTTTAATTTGTGCTGTTTCAACAATGGGAGTGCTTGCTTATGAAACAAAAAATGGAGGCTGGAATGCAGATTCATTTTGTACTTTCATAACTACAATGGCACCAATGATTAGGAATGCAAATGTGGAAGCGCCAGTGCTTGTTATGGACAATTGTAAATTCCACTGGAGTCTTTCTGTTAGGCAAACACTAGCCTCTCATGGAATAGCTATTAAGTATCTGCTAGCATACACGCCACAGCTTAATCTAATAGAAGAATTTTTTTCTTCTTTAAAACATACTTACAAACAGGGAGAAAGGCCTCGAAATACGGATGAGGTAATTAGGAAACTTAAAAATTTTATGAATACCACAGAGTTGAATTTAATTTAATTTTACAACCATACGCGTAGTTACATAAATCTAGCGCTGGCTCGGCAACCATTTCTTAAAGAAATAACAATGAAAACAACCTAGTTTATATTTTAAATATATTTATATAAAAATTTAAAAGCGTATTTATATTAAATTATATTAGAGATTTTATGGGTGCTTGACCTGCATATAAATGCGCATATAAGAATGAATAAATGCACATATAAGAATGAATAAATGCGCATATAAGAATGAATAAATGCGCATATAGGAATTATTAAACACACATACAAGAATGAATAAATGCGCATATAAAAATGAATAGACGCGCGTATAAGAATAACCCTGTAATATCAACCCTTGGAATTAGGGTCGGCATTCGGCAATGCCGACCTAACTGCTGACCCGAAAGTGTTTGAGGTCGGCAAAAAAATGCTGACCTCGTTTCTATGTTTTATGGTCAGACCTTTATATCAAACAATATTCATCGACCTGATGCCTATCTCAAAAAGAGTGAGGTCGGCAGATTATTGCCGACCTCATTTTTCCTAATTCTAAGGGTTGATAATATAAATAATACAACAACTGACTATTTTGATAAATTAATAATCTTTTGTGTAAATGGTCTTACGCATTTACAAAATCCAGGTAGATAACACAGTAGGAGCGTTGGAAGTTTGTTATTAAAAGTGATCGAAATTTTGGTAAATATTTTACCAAATTTGATACCGAGATTTTAGCTAGTCAAAATTTATTTAATTACAAAAATTTATTTATAAATACAATTTTACATTTTTTGTTTTTTTATACTCATATTATGTTAAAATTAATTACACATGTATTCCAAATTGAAATTTAATACATAAGTCGGCGATATAAGTTAATAGTGAAATTTAACAACTGGCAGATTTTCTCTGCAAAACAAGATTTTTTCGTGGTATTTTGTCTCAATATTATTGTGAAAATTCTCAAAATATTTTGTGAAAACTCTCAAAAATAACTGTTTTTCTAAATTAGATAAATATCGCTTTTCAGTATGTTTTTCAACCTTTAAAACTTTATTGTGGTCTAACTAGCTTCGTAGCAAATCTCTTTCTAAACTTTATTGTGGTCTAACTAACTTTGTAGAAAATCTCTTTCTAAACAATTGGATATTGAATGACTTATTGTAACAAACTTTTTACAGGATTGATGTCGAGAACATGGTGATAAATAATTACTTTTTCCATCTCACTCTTAAAAAGATTCAAAAAAAAAAAAAAAAAACTAAAACCCTAAGCCAAAGATTAGCTTTATAATTAAAAAAAAATTATAATTTATCAAAAAACTTAGATTTAGTTGAAATTAATTCAACTAACTATTACAAATAGTTGAAAGCTACTAATTGACCATACAGAATCTAATTATGAAAACATTAGTTAGAAAGTATTTTTTTAAAAATTGACTTAATAATAGAGTTCATTGTTGGAGCTAAATAAAACTAAAGAAATTTTTATAAAGGGTAAAACTTATCTTCGCAATGTACTACTTATTTTATTAAAATTTTAGTGTTTTAGGCTTTTAAAAGGAGGACATTTTAAAACGAGTTTCACCTGAATCTTTCCTCTTCTTTTTGTTGAAGATTTGATAAAATATAGAAACATGCATGATTCCAAATTTCTAACCGCTTCAGAGATGATAAAACATATAATGGAAAACTAAAGAAGAATACTTCTGAGTAATTATATCTATAATAGAATAAATAAATATATATATATATATATATATATATATATATATATATATATATATATATATATATATATATGAATATATATATATATATATATATGTATACATACATACATACATACATACATACATACATACATACATACATACATACATACATACATACATACATGCATACATATATATATATATATATATATATATATATATATATATATATATATTCATATATATATATATATATATATATATATATATATATATATTCATATATATATATATATATATATATATATATATATATATATATATATATATATATATATATATATATATATATATATATATATGAATATATATATATATATATATATATGTATACATACATACATACATACATACATACATACATACATACATACATACATACATACATACATACATACATACATGCATACATATATATATATATATATATATATATATATATATTCATATATATATATATATATATATATATATATATATATATATATATATATATATATATATATATATATTCATATATATATATATATATATATATATATATATATATATTCATATACATATATATTCATATACACATATATTCATATACACATATATTCATATACATATATATTCATATACATACATATATATATATATATATATTTATATATATATATACATATATATATATATATATATATATATATATATATATATATATATATATATGTATATATTCTATTATATATCTATGATAGAATATATACATATATATATATATATATATATATATATATATATATATATATATATATATATATATATATATATATATATATATATATATATATATATATATGTATATATTCTATTATAGATATATAATAGAATATATACATATATATATATATGTACACATTCTATTATATATCTATAATAGAATATATGGTTGACCGGTTAAAAAAAAAAATTAGAGATTTAAAACAAAGTTTAACAAAAAATCAGGATATTATTTGGAAAATGCATATAATAAAATTTTAATAAACTATTCAAATTTTGAAAAAGGGTTTTAAATAGTTTTTTTGTTTATGATACGCTACTTGAATTGCTAGCGGGTCGTTTAAGCAAAAAGTTTGAAAGCGAATAGAAGTTAAAACAAATTTTTTCTTTAATTCTTTTATTTTGAATACTGCCTGGTTTTTATCTTTCTTTTCAAAATGTACAAATAAATTTATTTTTTATAAATATAATTCAAAAAATTAAATTTAAAAACTTATTATTAATTTATATCAATTTAATTTAATATTTAAAAGTTAATAATTTATTAACAATTTAATATTATTAATTCCGCGACTTATAATATATTTGAGTATATATAAAATTTATAATAATTAAAAAACATATACCGTTGTTAAAACTTCTATCTAATAATTATTGCATATTAATAGAAACCAGTAATTATTCTGCTTTAACAACCCTGAGCTCATTAATTCTCTTTGCGTATGTATCATGGTTTAATAAATAACAGGCCTTGCCAACGCGCGGCTTGCGTAAAAAAACTGGAGGCAAGTTTAAAAATATTATTTCATAGCAATTTACATTTTCAGTTAAGTGATTTTTGCCTGAATATTGTTTTTGTATGATATATCTATTAAAAGTAACTTATAAAAAGTGAAAAAAAAAAATTTATTAATATACTTTTTTTAATTTTGTTTATAATTAAGTGTATCTAAAACTAAATTGTGTTGCAACGATTTAGTAAGTAAAGTAAAATGGATTTTCATCTTTACGAATAATGTACCCAGCAATATATACTAATGATATTTTAATATCGACAGCCAATGAATCGCTAAGAGCAGACAAATTGTCATTAATGTTGCAAATATCCTTGCTTGGTAAAAATTTACATTTTGGACAAGAGTGATCTGAACAAAGATTGATTAACACATCTGAACTATTCTCAGACTTTAACAGCAACTTTGTACGATATATAGTTACTTTTTCACAAATTTAGACAGCTGAACCAAGCCACAGCAGGTGAGCTAAACAATTAGCAGTATCTTTAGTTAGTAACTTGATTCTTTTTCCTTTTTCCATTTTTTCCATTTGTATTGCAAAATCATCAACTGCAGAAAGTTTGCTTAAATTGTCATCATCAGCAGAAGTAATGGCAGATCTATTAGAATCTTTCATACAAATATCTGCATATGGACTGTGAATGTTACAAACTTTCCAAAACTCAATGACTTTAGAGATTATAATAATTGTTCCTTCATTTTCATGCAGGTCTGGATGACTTGCTGCTAATGTTTCATTACAAGACACTTGCAAACAAGTGATAACTTTTTATCTTTTAATTGACTTTAGATAAACAGACACTTCTGTTAATTTAGACATTTTAGCAATATTCTTTGATTCAAATTTGTACAAATTAATAATATCAACCCACCGTGCTTTTTTTTCTCCATCGATATAAAATTCAAGCTCTTGAGTTTTTTCTGTACATAATCAAATAAAAGAAATATATTATCTTTAGTAAAACATGCTTCTTTTTTTTCAAAAAAATTGTAAAACTTCTGATTAAATCTGTTACCATCACAGACAATAGCAGCAATCAGGGTTGTCTGTTCAAAAATAAATTCAGCATCAAGTTCTCTGACTGGTACATTTTATAAAGAAATTTTGGTCCATTAAACAACATTACAATCAAAAAGCTCAGTACTGCGTTTGCTAGTAGATGAGGTTTGTTAAGTGATTTGCCAAATATTATGCCACCTTGGCATTGTAACATGGGTTTAACATAAACCTCATCAAGAAATAAAATGCATGTTTTTTGTCTTTAATTTCTAAGATTAAAAAAAATATGTTTGATGTAAGTGGTATCATCTAAAGACTTACATTTAAGTGTAATTCTTACTAAAGTATGTAAACTTGGAAGTTCAAAATCTTCTCTGGTGCGATTGTAGGCTGGTAGTGAAAGGCAAAAATACTCAAATGCTCACACAATTGTTTCAATTGAATACTTTTTTTCCCAATTCATGTTTTATTCATTGACAAAATTTGTTGATGTACAACTTCTTTTTTGTGTGTTATTTCACAACAATTTAAAAATCTTAATGCTTCTTGGATACAAGAACATTTGTTCAAAATATAAACTCTGTTGGATGACAAAGTCATAACACTACATTTAACTCCACAATGGAATGCTGCAAAAGTGAAATCTTTATTTATATGAAGAAGAAATCTAGAAATAGCACTTTCCATTAAAAATATGAAGACTGAATATATAATACATCATTGCATAAATAATTGATAATAGCAAAATTAAATTCATTAGCTTTTAATTTTTCATATAAAACATTTATACTTTCTATCTTTTCGTGAGAATTAAGTATTACTGGCTCATCATGTGGCATTGATACATTTGGGACTAAACTTGGCTTTATGCAACTAAATATTGATGGAGCATCACAATGTCTCAGCTTCCCATAACCACTAACAGTTAAACAACTTTTTGGCCAATGTCTTTCAAATACTGCGGTGTTATTGGTGTCGGGAATGTTATCTCTTGGTATTATAGCAATCCAACGTTTTCGTTCTTCAATTTTTCTTGGAAGTCTACATGTTTTAACTCTATTCTGAGGATTATAATTACCATTGCAATTTGTTACACAACATCGACGAACCATTTTTAGAATACTTATATAAATACTTTGTCTTATCTTTATTAGTAATCTCTAAAACCTGCTACAGTGGTGTGTGTACTATTGGTTTTGCACATGATGTATTTTTCATTTTATTCATTTGTTTTTTCCATGTTTTAAACAAAAACAATGTTGTCCTTTATTTGAATTTTATTTCTTGAGTTAAATTGTTAAAGTAAGATAGTCGATGTAGCAACACTCCCTTGTATCATCAAGCTATAAGATAGTCGATGTGGCAACGCTCTGCGCATGTTTTAAAAATATATTTTAGTAAAATAACAACAAAAACACCATTAATTAAAAAAACTTTCTAGTCATTATTATTACAGTTTTTTTAAAAAACAATAAAATTTAATCTACTTCCGAATTAATTTAATTGCTTTGACATTTCGACGAAAATAAAATACAGCTTAAGAGTCGAGGTAGAAAAATTGTAGTTGAAAGAGACTTTTTTTACCATAAAAGTCTTTTTTTACCATAAAAGACTTTTTTTACCATAAAAGTCATTGGATTACTAAATAAATTTGTTTAAGTATGGTAAAGTTTCCTATACATTATTTATATTATTATCTTGATATATTCTTACTAGATCTCAAGTTGTAAATTATTGTTTTTATTTCAATCTTGCAGTATTTATATTAAATAAATATTTAAAAAAAGAAGGCATTTAGATTAAAATACATGAATAATATAAATAAATATAAAAAATAAATATAAGCTTAGACAATTAAAACATAGTACGCTGGTGTTGTTTACATTATTTGACAATATAAGGATATATATATATATATATATATATATATAAATATATATATATAAATATATATATATATATATATACATATATATATATACATAAAATAATTTTTTAATATAAAAATCATTTTTTGTCATGAAAGTGTTTGTGTAGCTCATTTCTAAGTTCTGCCAAATTTCATTTTTAGTTTGAGCAATTTGAATAAATCCAAAACACAAAACTTCCATTACATCTGTTCCGTTTTTTAATTTGTTCAGTATAATACTTACTAATAATGGCATATTTCCATTGTTTTTTATGTAAACAAATGTAAAAGTTAAAAAAATGCGAAAATTAAACAAATTTATTCTGTAATCCAATGAATTTCCAATGCAAATTTTATGAAGTCAGTTTTAAATATATTTATTTTCTGTTTATGCAAACACATTAAAAACGTTTGAAAATGCATTGTTAATAATAACAACTTATTAATATAATTTGAAATAACAATATTTAATACATAAAAAATTCCTAAAAAATAGTATATTTAGTGATTAAAAAATATATAAGAGAATATAAAAGATTACTTCAAAAAGAGTATAATACTCTGAAATTATGTCAATAATTTCATCATCTAATAATTATGAAATTATTGGATGTGGAAATAAAGGCTGTTTTTTATTTAATTTTTTGTATTCAATTTTTTTCATAAGCGCACTTTAATTTTATATTTTGTTCACTAGAAAGAACATGAATACAAATGTTTCTGCTAAATAATGTTTACAGTGACAATACACAAATTTTTGGTGGTGGTGGTGGTGAGATTTAATTTTTTTTTGACATAACAATTAAAAAAACAATAGTTGTTACTATTGTTTAAAAGTGGTATTCGTTATGTTACACATGAGCATGGCAGAGGCGGCGAAAGGGACAGTTTATCCCGAGTGGCAGATGTCTAAAAGACACCAAAGAGAATAGAGGAACTTAAAAAAAAAAGGTCCTTCAATGATGATATATAAGTATTTTGAAAAATATGGGCTCCAATCGGGGTTGCCTGTCCCAAGCAGCGTGAAGGCTCTGGGTGCCCCTGACGATTGGATGTAGAAAGCTGTATTTTAAACAATTAACTAAAAGTTGTTATTAAACATATTGTTTGTATAATTTTCTTCATTTGTGCATTCTTAAAAATTGACCATTTTTACAATCAAATAATTTTTTATAAGATGCCTTTTATCACCTCTCACGTGCCCCCCCCCCCCCCACTTTTTTCCTAAAGGACTTTTTTTTTTAAGAAAATTCTAGATATAGAAGACTTTTCCAAAACCCGTGTCGTCGGCCCTGGTTGTAACTAAAGAAATAAGTAGGAAAAATGATTCAGTTTCAGTTAAAAATCTGACATTCAATCTATGAAAATGCTTACAATGAAAATTTACAAAAACTCTTTTTGGACTCATCATATTTCAGAATAAATTGTTTGCCAATTTATTCTGAAATATGATGCCATCATCATATTTCAGAATAAATTGTTTTGGAAAATTATATTTTAAAAAGAAATAACAACTGATACTTTATAGATTTTAACACTATTAAATTCGAGCAGCCAAGGCGCAGTGGTAGCACGCTTGCCTCAGATGCAAGGGTTCCATGATTCGAACACACCTTTGAGCAAGTTTTGCGACACCAAATATAAAGGAGGCATGAAATTCTTGTTAAATGCTCTTCTCCGGTGCTCTTTGATAAGACAGTAAAGCCTGACTATCTTAGCTAGGTCTAATCTTATTAGATTTACCATGGTTTTATCTTATCACAGTCAATACTTAAGGGCACCTGAAATAAAAAAATTTAAAAAAAAATCTTTTACAGAGGTTCCTTGATATTAAAAATCTTAATAAAAAACAAACAAAAACATTGCAACTAACATTGCGGCTGAAAATCATGTTTTTATCTGATTAACTTCAAATACTAATAAAAGACACTAGTATTAGTTAAAAATACACATATATAACAGATTATAATAATATTTCCTATCTTCAGGGCAAGGCTTTGCAAAACAAAGTTTTTAAAGTGGTTGAAAATTACAAACAAAATTCAAATTAGAAGCAATTGTTTGCTGATTTACCACAATGCGAATAATAACTGCTTTTATAACCCCTTTTTAAATGATATAATGCCTTGATTACACAACATTTATTTTATTTGGAAAAAAAAACTGTTTTGAGACTATTCAAATAATGTGTGGAAGTCTTATGGGGAAGGGTTTCGAAAGTTTTAACAAATATTACACAGGGTGGATAGCTACAGTGACAAAAAAACTTTTAATTTTAATTCTTATTATAGCGGAAATAGTAAAATTTTAGCAAAAAAATAAACAAACTTGGAGATATATTTTATTTAAAAATAATAGCACGGCACATACAAGATGAGGGGGGAGGAGGGGAAGGGGAGTTGATAAACATGTCACAATATAAATATATATATATATATATATATATATATATATATATATATATATATATATATATATATATATATATATATATATATATATACATATATATATATATATATATATATATATATATATATATATATATATATATATATATATATATATATATATATTATATATATATATATATATATATATATATATATATATATATATATATATATATATATATATATATATATATATATATATATATATATATATATATATATATATATAATAAAATATATGATTTTACCTTTAAATAAAAATTTTAGTAAAAAAATCCAAGATCAAATTAATAAAATTAAAAGTTAAAAGTGTTAAAGATAATTTAAACAATACCTTTCATTATTAAGTTTACTTGCTATTAAATAAAGCTCTACAAAACAGCTGCCTAAAATGACATTTAAACTACATTATTAAAAAAATATTTTAATGAGTTGCGGCTGGCAAAACTTAATTATAAAACAAATTTTTTTATTTAGTAGTATTAAAATGAAGGTGATAGAATAATTCTTTTAAATGCCAAAAAATAAATATAAAATTTGTAATGTTATTTCAAAGCAAATAAAATTTTATATAGGTTTGTTTTATACTTACTGTATAATTTAAAGAAACCTATAAAAGTTGCCAGATAATTTTTTTGTTTTTCACTGTATTCATCTCCTCAAGGCTGAGCAAGCCACTAGAGTCAAGGAGGCTCCTCACTTTTTCTTAATTGAAGTTACAACCCTCACTCAACCCTCTAAATAGATAGGAGATAAGATAAGAAAGGAGTCTCAGCTAACAAGGCCACTGCACTGATAAACAAGTTTAGCAAAGTGCTACCAGGGATATAGTATGAAATCTTGAAAACTTTTCACTTATAAAGTGAACCATTACTACTATTACTATATTACAACCCCATTTTGTAAAGTCTGAAATATTTACTGAATTAACAAGCAACTATAAATAAAAAAAGTAGTAAAGAATCAAAGCTGTTCAAACTTATATATAATATAGAATAAGTAAAAATATTTTACTAGATATCATATACCCCTTTTAGTGACATTATTGGACAGACAACTTTGTCAGCTAGACCAATTAAAAAAACTGGTTTTATTTTTTTAAAAATTCATTCTATTTTCATGATTTTAAATGTATACATGTAAACTATTAAGTTGCTAAGTCTTCTTGTACCTTAATTAAATTATATATGAATTAATACACAGTAATCCATTAAAGTACTAAAACTTTATGTAGTCAGTTAAAATTAGTTTTTTTGAAATATTTTTCTCCAAACATTCTTTACCAGAAATGAACAATTTATATACATAATCTTACCAGGAAATGGAATTTGATCAGCAAGATGGTTTATACAATCACCAATGAACTCATCAGAGTCTTCAGATATGGAACTTTTAAAACCAAAACAATGCAATAAAAATATTGAAAGACGAAAAAAATACCAAAAGAAATAATTAAAAAATTCATCACAACACATACTCAGGTGATCCAACTGACATAAGTTGAGTCAGGTTTTGTGCAACAGATATAATTTCCTTATCATTGACCCAAACAAAAAAATCATTTGGAATGTTAATTTCGCCTATGTCATTTTGCTAAAAATTCAACAATATGGACACACATAAAATATACAAAATTTACTTTATAATAAGTGTATACAATGTAGAAAAATATATACACACAATAAATAAAATACAATATATAAAAAGTAAAAAATAACTGCACATATCAATCAAACATGATTAATAAAATAATGTTAATAAAGTTTTATTCTAATTAAATAAAATAAACTACAATAAAAGCAGTATAACGAACGTTTTATTTAATTTTTAAAAACATTTTATTCAAATTGTAAAAAAATCATTTAAAATAAAAACAAAAAATAGGACGTTATATTTTATTTTTTTAAACAAAATAGTTAAAACATAAAAAACACAAACTTTTTTTTAATTCCAAACAAAATAAAATAAAACACCAAAAGAAACTTTAGATATAAATTCCAAATACAAGCTATTTATTTAAATATCAAAGTAAAAACGGGAAAGCAAACATTTTATTCATAATAATTAAAACAAATTCAGCAAAACATTCGTTTTTAAAATTTTTATATATAGAAAAGAAAAGTCAGCGAACTCAGCATTTGCTTTTTGATAAATTTTTTTCTAAACATTTGTGCATTTGTTAATCTATTGAACCCTGTTTCAAAACTTTGTGCCAACCTAATGCCAACCTAAAATTGCTTTATTTTTTCTAATTCCGAAGGCTGCATGTTATAAAACAAAGTATACAAATAGTCTTGTGCACATCTTACAGTTTAAAAAAGTGAAATTAAGGGCTCTTTTAGATAATGGTCACCATATTCAGGCGCATAACTTTGAACAATGTTCAAGGATAAAAAAATATAAGTAACTTTATATAAAAAATATATGAAGTTAAATGTATTCAGCTCTGAATTAGGGTTTGCAATCCTGAAATCACGGGATCCCGCCTAATTTTTTAACCCCAAATTCCCGATATTATTTCAAAAATATCCTGGGATTTAGAATTTATAAAACTACGATTAATACCTGTGTTTAAACTGCGTCAAATAAAACAAAAGTAACAATAAAGCTTTAATATTTAGGGATCGTCCATAAATTACGTCACGATTAGGGAGGGGGGAATTTTAATACCAAGAAACGAACCTGGAACCCTCAGTTTACTAGCCGGAGGCTTATTTTGAAACCCTATACAGGCTCAGAATAGGCAGAAATATAAGCAATCTGATTCGCTGATTTTGAATGAGAGGCAAGTGCGCTTTTGTTGAAAAATATATTTAAAATCTAAACAACAGATTTTTGAAATAAATTTCATAGTAATGATAAACTAAGTTTATCAATTCTTCAATCATAAACTAAGTTTATCAAGCCTTGTGTTACTATCAACATAGAAAATTTATTACTCTTTAGAATATTTAAAAAATATCAAAATCTATTTGTACCAGAGAATTTTCAATCGAAAAAATTTCAAAGTTTCAATAAAGTTTATCTTGGTGATGGAGGTTTTATCTGTTGTTAATTTAAAGAAATGGAAAAAAAAAGGTAATTCGAAAAGATCTATAAATGTATTTCTGCAAAATATGTTCTTGGCCTTAAAGCATACTCAAATACAAAGTTTATATACAGTTGTACAAGACTACTTGTGAAGTACTTTTGCATTTAAAGGTTATATGCAGTTTTTACCAGACTACTGGCAAAGAACTTTATTTATAAATTGATTTGTATGTTAATTATAAAGAGTTGAACATTAGATATTTTAAATAAAGAAAATTTTTATTGATCGCAAAACTAGCTTACATGTTCCAACCTAAATATTGAGAAGGCTGATAAAGCGCACATCAATATTTTTCTTTACTTAACTTTAATAAAACATCATCCTTAAACCTTCAAACACTTTATGAAAAATTAAAAAAAGTTTGGCAGGGTATTTTAACTTAAATATATAAATAGGAGGAAAATTGTATATTAATAATCTATTGGAAAATTTAAAAAAAGTGATATTTAATTGTTTTTCTACTAAACAGTTCTTTAGCTCAGTTACATATAAGCGTTGATATTACAAGCTTGCAAAGAGTATTGAAGTTAAACAATTTAACCAAATTAAGGTGAATTATGGCAATTATTGTAATAAAAAGAACTTCATCAAAACAAGCTTTCACATTTGAAGAAAGTTTTCACATTTGAAGAAAGTTTTCAGAAAAAATTTATTAATATTACTTCAAGATAAAACATAACACATCTCTATTTTTAAATTATTATACAAGAGGTATTCACAGAAATTCAAAAAAAATACACTTTATTTTATTGGTTATACCAAAGATTACATAATAAAACTATTAATAAAATTTGGAAATATGAAAGATAAATATTTCTGCCTAGAAAAATTTATCATAGAGAAATTATTTAACAATTTTTGGAATTTTAGTGTGCATTGTCTAGGCCACATTTGGAGCCCTTTTGTTAAGGCTTAGGGTTCATTATTAGTAATGAAGTAATTGCTTGGACTGTTAAATAGTGTACTGAGTACTATCTGTGCTTTATGTCAAGTTCTTTAACAAATTTAAAAATGACTAAAGTACCAAAAACTATAAAACGCAAAAAACCATCGCCATCATCAAGTTCCCTAAATTTATCATTCACTAATATTCGTGGTTTTCAAAGTAACTTTTCTTTTGTTGAATCTATCTCTTGTAATGTTCGCCATACATATTTGCTCTTTGTGAAACTAATTTGAGTTCAGATGTATCATCTTGTGAAGTGTTGATGGTTATCGTCCTTTAATTTGTAAAGACTTTATCAATATCAAAAAATAAAAGACTCTACCAAGCATGTGACAATAGTCATATGCTTGACCTGAGCATTTACATTTGCAAGAATTTGATCATTTGTCTAGGTTCTAGGAAACTAGGTTCAAATCCACAGACTATTCTTTATGTGTTTTTGTTTAGCACCACTTCATTCTATTGTCTCTCTCTTTGTTCCATATCATTCTCCTTCATCTCAAGAATGCACTCTTTTCAATGTTATTTCTGATCAAATTGACCAAGCCCTCTCACTTTATCCTTCAGTCAATATTGTTGTTGTTGGTGAAATGCTCATCACACTAAACGGCTTGATTTTCTTTGTGATGGCCCTTGGGTAGAAATCTTTTGTGCTCCTGCTGACAAATCTGCTTCTCCGTGGTTTTCCTCTCATTGTGCTACTGCAATTTCCAATTGTAACCATTACTTTCATATCTATCAGCACAACAATTCTCCAGAAAAAAATGTGTTTACTACTGCTAGAAACCATAGTAAAAAGGCTTTCTCTAACGCCAAAGCCTGCTATTCTCAGGTCACAAAATCTTGTATTTCATCTCAAAAATTAGGCTCTCATGACTTCTAGTGAATCTTTAACAGTATCTATAACAAAGGCAAATCTGTTATTCCACCTCTCTTGTATGGTTCAGATTTTGTCACCACCTAAAAATAAAGCTGAAATATTTGCCAAGAACTTCTCAATAATATCATCTTTTGATTTCACTAGTCACGTTCTACCTGATAAAGTCGATAAACAGGTTAATCCATTGCTTGACCTTCATATCACTCCAGTTTCTGTATCTAAAGTGATTTCCTGCTTAGACTCTTCTTCAGCTTGTGGTCCAGACAACATACCTATTATAGTCTTGCAGAGGTGTTCTCCAGAGCTCTTGTCTATACTTTCAAAACTATTTAACAAGTGCTTATCAGAGCCTTGTTTTCCAGCCTACTGCTAAGAGAGATTTGTTATCCCTATTTTCAAAAATTCTGGAGAGCGATCTGACTCATCTAACTACTGTCCCATTAGTCTTCTTCCTATCATAAGCAAGTTTTTTGAGTGTTTTATTAACAAACATTTAATCTCTCATTTTGAATCAAATAACTTTCTATCTTTTTGTTCTACTGCCTATTTTTTAACACTGATAGGTTTTATTGTGCATTAGATAGGTGTGAAGAGGCTAAGACTATCACTCTCAATATTTATAAAACCTTTGATAAAGTTTTTTCATGCTGATCTACTCCATATGCACTTATGATGTATCAGGTAACATGTTTAAGATTATTGAATCCTTCCTTACCAATAGCAGTATAAAATTTGTCCTTGTTGGACAGCACTCTTCTTCATATACTGCAACTTCAGGGGTTAATCAAGGTTTTATCTTTGGCCCTATATTGCTAACTCAGGATTCTATTCTTCATTTCTATAAATCTCAAATCCGTCCTTGTATAGAATACTGTTGTCGAATTTGGGGCAGATCTTCGAATAATGTCTTTTCTCTTTTAAGCTAAGCGCAAAAATGCATTATAAACATAGTTGGACCTGCTCTTGCAGGTCCAACTATGTTTATCTCAAATCATTATCACATCATGGTAATGTTGCTTCTCTTTCTCTTTTCTATAAATACTATAAGCTAGCATCTTTTGTGCCGTCTTATAAAATTCATTTTCGTGTTACTCTACATTCATTAAATTTCATCATTTTACTGTGACTGTTCCTAAGTGCTCCAAAAATTCTTATTCGTCTAGTTTTTTTCTGAAATATCAGCTCTTTGGAATTCGCTTCCTTCATCTTGTTTTCCTGATTCATATAATTTGCAATCTTTTAAATTGTCTGTTAATCATTATCTTGCTCTATAAATTTTATCTTTTCTCTATCAGTAACTTTCAACTCTAATAGTGGTTGTTTGCAATCTTGTTGGAAGTGAAGATGTTTCTAGTTATGGGGCTTTATAAAACTTTTTATAATATAATGTTTATTAATAAAAAATTTTTAAAATACCTGTCAAATAAACAAATTAATAAAAAGTGGAAGAAAATGACACACACACACACATACACACACATACATACACACACAAAATACACATACAAACACATAAACAAAAAAGTTAGAGGATGGTCTTAACTTTAAAATGTCAATTTTTTTTGAGCTTTTATTAAATTTTTTTTTTTTTTTTTTACAGTTTACATAGAAATGATATTCATGAGCTTATTTATAAAATATTTGAGAATATACTCAGAGAAAATAAATTTATTTAAAAAGGAAAAAATTAAAACTATACCTTTAAAAAGGATGGTGAGAAAACAACTGCATTATGTCTGATTTGGATATTACCTTGAGACATTCAATCAATCAAATTTAATACTCTTGTATTGCATTTTATAATATAAGCATTGACAAAACTTACTAAAACATAAAAAATATTCACCGTAATTTGTGTTTTGTGTCTTGTTATGAACTGCATTAATAAAATTTATTAGTTCTTGTATTCCTAACAGAACAAAAAAAAAGTGAAAATATCTAATAAACCTAATTTCTTATAAATGTCTTGAGTATTAACTTTTTGTTAATATTAAAAGTATTACTAAGAAGAATTGAGTATTAACTTTTCATTCATATAAAAAGTATTACTAACCTCTACAACATTTTACTAGTTTCATTACATCTCAATCGGTTATAATTAGTAACAAGGTTACATTCTTTTATTTTTAATAAAATATTATTCAAATAAATTTGATAACACAGTAAACATTTGTATATCATTGCTATATTGTTAATTACCATATTTACTTTATTTTTATTGTAAAATAGCTTCATTTCAACTGGTTATGAAAAAAAACTGGTTTTTGTCAGGAAAAAAAAATTAAGTTTCAATTTGCAACGTTACGTCTTAATTAGCTTTTTTTCAAACATTTAAAAATGTAACCAATTGAGACATAACATAACATTAAAAAAAAACACAATTAAAATAAAGTGTCTCAAAGACACATTTTTGTTTATGTTGCATCTCAATTGGTTATACTTTTAACTGGAGCAATTAACATACGTCTTAAATGCAGAACTTTTTTACGTTACATTACGTCTAAATTGCTTGTATTTACGTTACATCTCAATTGATTACTCTTGAGTCCTTAATACAAGGGGGTGGGAATGAAAGGAGGGTGGGTGGAAATTTTAGTCCAGATATAATTAACGGTGTGGGGGTTAATAAAAAAGGTGGGGGGAACTTATAAATTCAAACTAATATTTTTTACATAACATGCATAAAATTTTATGCATATTAAATAAATTATAATAAAACAGTTGTTAGAAAATGCGCATTTGACCACAAGCTATGCTAGAATTAAATAGTTTTAAAATTATTTAATTCTAGCGTGGCTTGTGGTCAAATGCGCATATTCTAAAAGCTGTTTTTTTCATAATTTTAATGATTTATTATGCTGATATAAGTTTTATACTTTTGTCAGAAAATTACCATAATTATGTTGATAATTTTTAAAGCCTGAAACTTTGGTTTTTCAGTGATTGAAATAATGATTTTCTAATTTTTAAGGCCAATTTATACAGAATTCCTCCTCCCCCTTGTATTAAGGACTCAAAAGTACACTTCTAAAAGTTGAAAAATCTGAAAATTATTAAATATATTATACTTAATGATTTTAAGATTTAATAAACATTGTTTAAGGATCGCTGATCAGATTTTTTTGAAGTGGTGCACTATGCGTTGCGAAGCGGAAATAGGATTTTACTTACTTTTCAGAAAAAAATTTTCAATTTTAATATTTTAAATATTTTTTAACTGAAACAAGTTAGTATTAGTTAATAAAAAAAAGATTTTTTTTAATTTTTTTTAATTTGCCTTTTTAGGTGCGGGATTTTCAGGGGTAAAAAAACCTATGTTTTCACTAAATCTTTAAATTACATAAGATAATTTTCAAATTTCTTCATTTTTTTTGCACATTTTCTAATAAATGATACATTTGGTAAATTAAAAACCAAGAAAATAAAAAAAAAATGTTTGGATCATTGTTTTTGGGTGTCTGTAAAGATTGATCGATTAGACCATGTTACTACAGAGGTAGCCAGTTTTTTATTTTTTTTAAATTTTCTCAAACAAATTGACTTTTTATAAGTGAAATAATATTCTGGCTACCTCTGTAGTAACATGCTATAAAATCAATTCAAAAGAGGTGGATTTATTAAAAACCGGTTAGTTTTTGTCAAGAAGAAACTGGATGCGGGCGGAACATTCTTTTCTAGTCTTTAAGTTATAACCTAAGTTTGGCTCTCATCGTGATTTAGAATTTTTTAAAAATGGTTACTTTTCTTAGCAAACTTCTGGCTGATAATTTTCCTCCAAGGCATATTTTCACGAGTAAAAATGTATCTGAATGTGCTATATTTTTGCAGTCCAAGTTTTTATCACTTTATGCTGATTGCACTGTGAATTTCAACATTTTCAAAAGTCTGGCTTTTAACTTAATAAAAAAATTTAATGAGTGTGGAAAACGAAAAAAGTTCATTCTTACTAAATATAAACATTTTTTGGATCAAAATCAACAATGCAAATATCTCTTGTGAGTATTTATTCTATATTGATTTATTATAAATAAGTAATAAATATTGCATTATAATATATATATATATATATATATATATATATATATATATATATATATATATATATATATATATATATATATATATATATATACACATATATATATATATATATATATATATATATATATATATATATATATATATATATATATATATATATATATATATATATATATATATATATATATATATATATATATATATATATATATATATATATATATATATATATACTCTTGCATGTCTCTTGCGTGGCATCAAAAAAAGTTTTCCATAAACTGTAGTTTTAAAGAGCGCGTTAATAAACCAGACCAGAAAAAGTTTTAAAAATTAAATTTTTTTTTTAAATTGATAGACTGCCTGGCCAAACCAAACCCTCAGTCGATGTAGCAGCACTCTCTTGCGAGTCAGGCTATTTGTCAGTCGATGTAGCAGCATTCCCTTGCGAGTCAGGCTATTTGTCAGTTGATGTAGCAGCACTCCGTTGCGAGTCAGGCTATTTGTCAGTCGATGTAGCAGCACTCCGTTGCGAGTCAGGCTATTTGTCAGTCGATGTAGCAGCACTCCGTTGCGAGTCAGGCTATAAGATAGTCGATGTAGCAACATTTACGCATGTTTTAAAAATGTTTTTTATTAAATCAATAACAAAAACACCACTAATTAAAAAAAACTTTCTAGGCGTTATAATTGCGGTTTTTTAAAAATTTTTTAAAAAACAATTAAATTTAATGTACTTCTGCATAAATTAATTGCTTTGACATTTCGATGACAATCAAAAACAGCTTAAGAGACGAGGTAATTAAAATTGTAGTCGTAAGAGACTTTTTTTACATTAAAACGCTCTTAAAGCTACACTATATGGGTATATATATATATATATATATATATATATATATATATATATATATATATATATATATATATATATATATATATATATATATATATATATATATATATATATATATATATATATATATATATATATATATATATATTAAACTTGTGCGTGTAGATTAGAAAAAGATTCTGAAAAAGAGATTAGAACACATGAGGAAGAACTGCTATTAATTAAAAAAGGTGAAAATCTGATTAAACAGGGTAATCAACTCATTGAGCAGGGTGAGCGTAAAATAAAAGAAGGGGAATTACTGCTTCGTACTCATGGATCCAATGTAAACAGGTATGCATAGATAAATGTATCTCCCTCTTTTTATTTTGCACACACACATACATATTGTTTGACTATGTTTCACAAAACCTTCAAAATGTATATATGTTTCAATGTATTTTTTTATTATTTATAGTGTACCATGTAGAGTACCTAAATCATCTGCAGTCAATACATCTTGTACACCAAAACCTAGAAAGTCTTTTATTAAGCTTACAAACAGGATGAAGCGTAAAAGAACAGATAGTCTTAGAGAACGAGAGGTGGAAGAACTGCAACATCCTGTCAAAAGGTTTAAATCTAATTCTTCTACTGATGGTAGGGCTATTTTATATGGTTCAAATTTGTCATTGCAAGCTCTTTGTAATTTGAAACTTACAGATAGAACATGGACTGAATTTAAAAATATAGTGACTCATAATCGTCATCTTGTTCCTCCAGGTTTAACCAAGTTGAAGCAATACAAAAAATTGACATATCCAGAACAGGTTGAATATTCTGAAACCGAAGTAAAATGTAGTCTTTTCCATATGATAAAGCATTCAGTTTCTAGAGTGTTTGAATATCTTTTGGATTATGAAAGTAACTGCATAATGAGTTTATCACAAGAAGAGCGTGATAATGTACAAATTATTTGCAAAGTAGGAGGTGATGGTCAAAGTGATCAATCTGAGTTTCAAAATTCAGCAACTATGAAAAGAGGTGTAGATGATCGCTCTGTGTATAGTATAGTGTTCGTACTGCTGGAGATCCGAAGTGGAGAAAAAATAATATGGAAAAATTTAATTCCAAATAGTCCAGATGCAACCCGTCATCTTCTTTTTTGTTTTGCAAAAGAGACTGCTAGTTTTATTCAGGAAAAATTTAAACATTTGAAAAATGAAATTTTTTTATTGAAGAATATTGAATTTAAACTTGGTGAAAGTACTTTTGTAGTAAAGTCTAGTTTGTCAACTATTTATACCACAATGAATGATGGCAAAACACTAAACGCTGTTGTATCAAATATGCTTAAAAAAATAATTTCATCTCAGTCCTGCCATGTATGCCTTGCAAATTCTAAGGAGTTTAACTTGAAAACTATTTGGAAAAAAAATATTAATTTAAACAAGCATGTTTTGAAACTTGGAATTTGCAGTCTTCATCTATGAATATAAGGGTTGAATATAAGGGTTTCTTTTGTCAGGAAAGGATGTGGAACAACCAATACTGGAAATGTTGCTCGCAAATTTTTTAATAACCCGATTGTGACAGGGAGAATTTTAAACTTGGATATCAGAATGATTAAGTTGTTTCGAGATTTACTCATTGATATAAACAGAACAACTACAAGACCGGATATAAAGGTTTTCAAACAGAAATCTGAACATCTATTTGCACTCATAACTAATGATAAATTTTTAAAAACCATACCTATGTCACAATCTGTGCATAGAGTGATAGTTCATGGTACTTCTTTTATAAGGTATTTTAAGTATCCGATAGGTTCTTTGTCTGAGAGTGCTATTGAAGCCAGAAATAAGGAAAACAAAACTGCTCGAATTGGTCATGCTCGTTTAACCTCTTTTGCAGAAAACACTAGGGATACAGCTAATTATTTGTTTATGACATCTGATATGTACCTCTTTTGCAAAAAAAAACAAAATGGATAAAAAAAGAGTGAAAACAAAATAGTTTAAGAAAGCAAAGTGACAGTTCTTCTGATAACTGCTTAAAATAAAGGTAAAATAGTTTTATTATTAATATTGTTAATAGTTTTGATTGATTTTTTTTTGGTTAGGCAATCTCATAATTTTGGTTAATTAACAATTCAAAGTTGCGTTTTTTTTTTGTTTTTTTTTATGTTTTTAAAAAAAAATTTAAGAAATAATTTAATCAATTTTAACAAGCAATTAACTATTTTAGGAAGTAAGACCATGAAGAATCATATTGATGAGCTGTTCTGCGTTGAATTTTTAAAAAACGGCTATTTTCATAGCCACAAGTTATTAAAAACATCTATTAGAATAGAACGTTGAGAAACTGTGAAAGAATGCAAAGAGCCAAGTATCATATGATGGCAGAGTTGTTTATTATATTCAATGATACTGTTTATTTTGAAATAGTGTTCATATACATAGTTTGTAAAATTCTATAAAATATAGGCGCCTACTTTTTTTTGAATAAAATCATCCGGACATGTGTAGTTTTCCGGACAAATCTAGAATTAGTCCGGACTAACCGAAAAAAATACAATAAATTGTTTTTTTATGAAAACCGAATATGATTCTTTTAAATATAGAAATATAAATAAAAATTTGATGTCTTGTGAAAAAATAAGCTAAATATTTTAAGTCCTTCTTTATTTATATGCCTATTTCCTCATTTTGTATAAGAGCAACGCATAGTGTGGTGTGGGAGATAATGCTTACTTAAAAAATAGGCATTTAGCAAGGTGATGCTTACTTTTTAGGTCATTATGTTCCTAGCCTTTAATCTGCGCAATTTTATGTCATAAAATTATTAAATTACATAAGTATGAACATACGAAAGATAGATATTTTAACTTACCCATAAGAACTTTTTAACTTACCCGAACTTTCCATTTAAAGAATTAAATATTAAATTTACTATTTAATTCTTTACATAATAAAATTAAAAAATTCTTCTGGGTTTCAAAAAAAATTGAAAAAAAAAAATTTTTTTTTGTATAAAAAAAAGTTAAATGTTCAGATTCAATTGGTGACTTTGTCATAAAATTTTTTTTTTATGCTTTTAAAATTTTAATAAACCCACAAGCAAAAATATATAAAAAATATCAACCTATATTTTGTGTTAACATTAGTTTATATAAATATATCAATAATGTTTAAATTAATTAAATCTACTCTTGTGTTTATAACTTATTGTTATAAACACAAGAGTAGAAGTAGAATTGTTATTTGCTATTTGTAATGCTTGATTAGTATTTTTATTTACTATTGTTATTGTCTAAAAAGAACTAATTAAAACAAAAATAATTCGCTACAAATTTTTTACGCTTTTCAAGAATAACAATTTTATTTTATTTTGTTGAAGTTTTTGTGTTTGTCTCTCCATAATGTAGTTTTTGTTTTTGTTTTATAGTTTTTGTGCTTACCTTTTCGTTTGGGTAATGTTTGTTATTATTTGTGCTGTTGTTGCCAACTACTTTTATTGTTGTTCACTGTTGTTATTAATTAAGTGTTTTCATATTTTCTGTCTTTTTTTTTTAATTTATTATATATAGCTTAATCTTTTTTTTTTAATTAATTTATTTTGCGATTGCTTTTATTAATATTGCTGATGAATTTTTTGTTAGTTTGTTTGTTTTATTTAGGTGCCACTCCAACAACTGTAATTTTTAATTTTGGGTTAAATAAATGTATAAATATATATATATAAATATATATACATATATATATATATATATATATATATATATATATATATATATATATATATATATATATATATATATATATATATATATATATATATATATATATATATATATATACTATTTACACTCTACTTCAAATATATATTTATATTTACATATGGTTATATATATTTGTATATACTTATATATATTTTCATATACTTATATATGAAGATATTTATATATATATATAAAATAAAAATTATAGAATATTAAGGAACCACACATTACAATGTTATATCTAGTAAGGTTAAAAATGTTACTATTTGTTTTATAAAAATAACAGACATTTGATACATAAAAATATTACAACGCATTATGTAAAAGTATGTATGTTACGTCTCATTACGCAAACATGTTATGTAACAGTTTTTAACATTACATCTTGTCGCATAACGTATGATTAATGGACATTTTGCACAAAATTGTAACCTGGTTTTGTTATGTAACAAAACTTTAAAATGTTATAGGGGTTAATAATGTGAAGATTTAATTATTGCTAATAATAAATAATTTGCTAATTTTTCCAAATTACTTTTTATTTAAAATAAATAAAAAGGGCCAAAAATGTATGTAAGTTAAAAAATGTATGTAAGATCAAAATTGTAACCTGGTTTTGTTATGTAACAAAACTTTAAAATGTTATAGGGGTTAATAATGTGAAGATTTAATTACTGCTAATAATAAATAATTTGCTAATTTTTCCAAATTAATTTTTATTTAAAATAAATAAAAAGGGCTGAAAATGTATGTAAGTTGGACATACTCCTTTACTTTTTCTTTTTCTCTTCACTACCCTCACAGGTTTACAAAATATTGTGGGTAAAAAAGTAATTTGTAAAAATTAGCAAATTATTCATCCATTTAAAATTGTGGTACTTGTTACAAGTCTAAAATACATTGTTTAAAACATAAATATTAAAACCAAAGAATTCCAGAAATTTCAACAACTTAGTTTTAATTTTTTATTTTAAATAAGTAAAGCATGTCAATTTTTTAAAATAAAATTGATAACATCCTTTACTTATATTTTGTTTACTATTGAATAAAAACTACAGAAAATTAAATTTAATTAGGTAAAAAAAATTATAATGCAGCTGGATAAACATAGTTTTAAATTATGAATATACCTAAGGTTGCCAGATACCCGGCCTTTATGGAGGAGAATACAGCACCAAACCTGTAAAAATAATTTTTTTTACTGTGTTTTCCTTCGTAAAAGCCGGACATCTGGCAACCCTATATAAAACGGTGTAGATCTCTTTTATATAATTATGCTTAATACTTACTTTTCATAATATATTTCCGCAACTGTTTCAAATAATTTCACAAACAAAGATTAAAGAAATAAGAATTAAAAATTAAAAACCTTTTAAATCCAAAACCAGGTATATTGTCCAGATATCCATTTAGGACAAAAAAAATTCTTTTTTATTTTTCTAAAAACAAATTTTACATTAAACAAATGAATATTTATTAAAAATGATATCTCCTGCACATAAATTAAATTTAATATAAAATCATTGTAAATATTATTTCAAACTTGAAAATATTTTTATTTTTAACAAAAGATTTTTATTTTTAACAAAAATTAAAAAAAAAATTTATCAACAAATGCTTTACTTATCATAGCCAGGATACATATTAAAGAATTAAAATGTTATCATTTTTATACTAATTTTACTAAATCATTTTAGTACTTACAAAAAACTTTAAAAATGCACAAAATAGTTTAAAATATGACAATGCCTACTGCATTTATACATGCAAATAAACACAAACAAAATGCAATGAAAAAAATTATTCAAATGTAAATTATAAAAGTTTGTTATTATAACAAGTAGCTCTTTAACTTATTTTTTTTTTTTTCTAATTAACTCTGCATTGTAAGTATATGTAAAAGTTGCGTTAAGACAACAGTCTGACTAATAAAAGACCAGAAAATTAAATATTATAAATATAAAGTCCTAAAATATCTTAAAAATGGAAGAAATTTTTTTGGGGGAGACGTAAAGGTGATACAAAATACAAAAATATTTCAACATCCCCCTCCCCTGCCTTCACCAAAAATTCCTGAATCTACCACTGATCGTGATCATGATCATAGTCTGGAATTAAAGAGTGACTTAAGGAGGAATTAAAGACAATTATCTGTTCGGAAAACTGTTGATAATCTGAAAGTTACTAAAAGATTTTAATATTCTTCTTTAGATAGTTTATTCTTGTTAATAAAAAATTTAGACTAAACATTTTTGGAATTAAAAATAGTTTAAATGTAACTTTTTAACAGAAAACTAAATTTGTGGAACATATAGGTCAAAATTAGAAATTTTGAATCTAACTAGTTTTATTCTCAATCGGCAACAGCTTTATTATCAAACCAAATTTAATTTAAATTGAATATATATATATATAATATATATATATATATATATATATATATATTCAATTTAAATTAAATTTGGTTTGATAATATATATATATATATATATATATATATATATATATATATATATATATATATATATATATATATATATATATATATATATATACATATATATATATATATATATATATATATATATATATATATATATATATATATATATATATATATATATATATGTATGTATATATATATATATATATACATATATATATATATATATATATATATATATATATATATATATATATATATATATATATATATGTATATATATATATATATATATATATATATATATATGTATATATATATATATGTATATAAATATATATATATATATATATATATATATATATGTATATATATATATAAATATATATATATATATATATATATATATATATATATATATATATATATATATATATATATATATATATATATATATATATATATATAAATGAGGGTATTTGATTGAAACTAAATAGATATTTATAATTTTTTTTTTTTTGTTTTATTTTAAGAGTTTTATATTTTTATTTTATGACTTTTTTATTATTTCCATTTTATGGGTTTTATATTTTTATTTAGTTACCTATTGATAATAGTATTATTAGTTGAAACTATAAAGTCATATTACTTGTGTAATCCTGGAAAATTTAGGCTGCAAACAATTGAAAAAGATTTTTTTTTTTTTTCAAAAAAAAAAAGAAAGGAAAAAAAGCTTTTCCAGAATTTTGCTTTTCTGGGATTTCAATACGTTTAGTGTAATCGAGTCAGTAAAGTCACGGTGAGTCAGTAAAATTTATATCCAAAACTTCGACAAAATTCCCTAGTTTGACAATCTTTAACTTAAGTGTTAAAATGAAATAAAATAAATAAAGCTTATTCAAAGAAATGTTTAGTTAAAAAAATTATCGAAAAGGTCTTTTTTTACTCGGTGTAGTTAAGGGTAAGTTGTTCGAATTTTTTTATTTGGAATCAGCATGATTTTGTCAGCCTATTATGTCCAAACAAGAGCTTTAGATGCTGTAAATTCATTGCAGCAAGTTTTTATAATGTTTAAAGAAACTTTTATCTTTTTTATATAATTTTCAAAACTTTTTTATTATTAATTATGAATCCAAAGAATACTTTTTTGAGCCTTTAGATCAGTTAGTTGAATTTTTTTGAAAAGTGCCTTAATCTACTATAAGTTCTTGCTCTGGTTGGTTCTAGCACATATTGATTTAATATAATTGTCAAAACACATTTCTAATAGTTTTCACAAAAAATATTAGAATTCTGACCAAGAAAGCGCTAATAATTTTAAAATTGCTAATAAACAATCAGAACATATCATTTATAAAACCATGCTGTTCATTTCACCTAAAAAGCGTATTTATTTAAAATCTTTTCAAATTTGAACAAGCGATCGTGATTTTAAGACTTTTTTTTTTTTTAAAAAAAAAAGAATCTTCGGTCTGAGTTTTTTCACTACAAACATTTTCATTTTTATGTTACGGCAAAATTTATCATTATAATTATTCTTTTCATGATTCACAGACCTAATCATTTAACGGAAATATTTTTTTTTTTTTTTTTTTTTTAAAGTTGATTAAGGTGCCCCAAGAAGTCCTTATGGTCTTATCACAGAGCACCGCGGAAGAGCATTTAATAGGAAGTTCACACCACCTTCCCAACCGATGTCACAAAACTTGCCTAGAGGTGGGGTTTGAACCACGGATCTTACGTTTCTGAGGCAAGTGCGTAACCACTGCGCCACGGCTGCTTACTATGTTGTATGCTTACTAAATATGTTGTAGTCAGCAAAATATTATTCAGAAGCTATAATTTTTTAAAATCGCATTAAGTACTCTGAGTATACAGAGTTTGAAGTTATCATAAAGTCGGTGGCTAATAACTCAACATAATTTTGAAATTTCGTAAATCGTAGATTATGACGTTTTTGATTTTCAATCGACAATTTTTGATTTTTGTATTTACACCTAATTAAAACGTGCACTTCTAATTTTCTAACCTACTAGATTGTTGACCTACTGTATTTTTGACCTACTGAATTTTCAACCTACTGAATATTCAACCTAATGTACTTTCAGTTTTAAAACTACGCCTTTTCGGTATGTATTTTGTATATTTTGTTGTTGATTTGAATACAAGCCAAATTTAATCAGCCTTTGTGCAGTGGTTGAAGTGCTGTCTGTAGAATCGGGAGGTATAAGGTTTGATGAAAGCTTGGATAACTTATTGATATTTAATTTAAAAAAAAAAAAAATTGTAGTTTAAAAAAACAGCGTTAAAAACACAGGTTATTGGTTGAAAAATATTTATCAAATGGTTGAAAATGAAAACCTATAAAATAGGTCGAAAAATAAATCTTTAATTAGTTGAAAACAATTTAGGCCTCGGTAGTTTAGCTGAAAGTTAGTTCCATTTTTTAGTAGATAATCTTTTTTTAGAACAACTTAGTAGGTTGAGATTTTTGTAGGTCTAACTTTCTGACACAATAAAGTTTACATTTGAACTTTTTTGCCATTTTGCCAAATCATTTTCCTTCAAAATATCTTAAAAAATATATAAAAATGTCTTTTTTTTTTACTCAAAATTTTTATACTTTTTACTTATTAAGTACAATTTTATAATTTTTTTTTAATATTTTAGGTGCTCCAATAAGTCCTAACGTTCTTTTCGCAAAGAATTAAATAGATGTATGCATCCCGAGGTGTGTCGAGTTGGCGGCTTAGGGGTTTAGCCCCCCCCCCCCACGGTGGGCCAGGAGAAGAACAAAAATTTTTTAAAATATTTTCAAAAATTACATTATTATATACCATTTTGTAGCTTAAACATTCACCTTTTATAAAATGTACATTTATTTTCATAATTATCATGACGTATGCTGTATAATAAAAAGCTTTTTTTTTATTTGATAATATTTTTTGTGTTATTAATAAGCATGGGACAAGGTTAATTAAACCTCTCTTATTAGTATTATCTTTTAAATGAGCTATTATAACACTATTTAGCAAGTAAGTTATGTCAAATAAAATGATTTCAAATGACAGCGTATTTGAAGTACTTTTTTTAGTTAAAATTTCACTTATATAGTCGAATACTTTTACGGTCCAAAGCGGTCCAGTAAGTGAGACTTTATATTACAAATAAAAATTTGGTTTAATATCTGCGGATGTCCACCTGGTCTCTAATAATGATTTTTACAAGTTAAATGATGTATCCGATTTTATGTGGCGAAAACATTATATGTATTTTATTCTAAATGGTTATGCAATTATTGGGTCTCATCAAGACTAGATTAGTGTTACAAACTTTTTTTATTATTAATACAACTTAAAATACATATTTATAAGATATTATAAATCAAATTCATATTTTTGTATAGTCAAAACATGAAAAATATTGATATTTGTTCATTTATAATACAAGAAAACTTGAACTTAGCTAATCCTAATATTTTGGATACAGTTGTAAATGGCATAAACTTAACTGCAAATAATAAACTGTCTAATTTCATAAAACATGTTTGAAAAAGATATTTATGCAAAAATCTAAAACTCGTTTTGAAAAGAATAACAAACAATGGCTACAAAATGAATCAATATTAGTTCAATTTGTAATTGATACTAAAGAAAATTCTACTAACTGCTTCCATTAATAAAAAAATTCTGGTCTTATCCAACTGTAGTATTTGGAAGGCCCCAGGTGAATTTCGATACTTTAAGTAGTAAAACAAAGAAAAGAAGATTGACGCCATTAGTTGCATTATATTCATTTTAAGAACTATTGTTTGCATCAGGTTGTAGTTTGCGCCAATATGGTCAAGAAAAAGAAGCTCAATAAAAATTATCAGATATTAGATATAGATAAATACTTAAAATTAGTAATTGGGAATGTGTTAAATTCTTTAAAGGCATAAAATAATTTTTAATCAGACTGCCCCATTAATATTAGTCTAATTTTGAACATTGATATTTTTAGAAAAGTTACTT